TCTGTCATATATAGTAAAAGCCTAATATGCAAATTGTCTCCTCAACCAGGAGTTCAACCAGGGGGTGGGGCCAGGTGGCTAACCACCCAAGCCCTGCTCTGGCCCTGGCCAGCAGAGGCAGCAGCAGCAGGCAGCAGGGGAAGGGAGGCCCCTGCTGGCAGCTGGCAGCCACTAGGGACCCTACCTGTGCATGAGTTTTGTGCACCGGGCCTCTAGTATATATATATAAAAGCCTAAACAACTAGTCAACTGATTGACCTGTCACTATGATGCATACTGACCACTGGGGGCAGATGATCAACACAGGATCTGCCCCCTGGTGGTCAGAGTGCTCCCACAGCCAGAGCACTGCTCAGCTGACTGACAGTCACCAGATGCCAGACTCACAGCTGGTAAGCCCCAAAGTGACAGCAAGCCTACCCAGTGGTGGTGGTGGCAGGCTCAATGGGGCCAGGATGAGTAGGAGTGGCGAGGTGCACTGCCAAGACTCTGGCTCCTCCCAGGCCACCTGTTACTTAGTGCACTGCTACAACCCTTGGGGGATATTGGACTGCTGGTTTTGGCCAATATCCACAGTCCAGGAAGAGGGACGCCATGGATTCATGCACTAGACCTCTAGTTGAAAATAAGCATATGTTAATCAATTTCAAAACTTAGATGGATAATAGATTTATTGGTGAACAACCAATTAATTTAGCACAACCAATTCAGAAGAAATAAAATTTCAAAATAAGTTTAAATTTATAAAAATATAGAAAAGCCCAGGGCAGATAGAATTGCTGAATTCTAGGAAGTATTTAAAATCGAAATAAGATTCCAAATCCTTAAAAAGAAGAAAACTACCAATCATTATCCCTAATGATCAGATACAAAATTCTTTCTAAAATATTAGCAAATCAAATTAAGTAATATCTGTAAAAAGCATAATATATCCTGACAAATTGGGATTAATCCAGGAAAGCAAAGTTTATCTTTGAAACAGGTCAATAGAATTGATCAGAATAACACAAGTAAGGAGAAAGAAAACAGATGATTTTTCAAATATATACATAAGAAGTAGTTCATAACTATTAAAATAAATAAGTGAAGTTAATAAGGTGATAACAGAACAACATATGAAATTAAATTCATATATACTAAGTGGCCAGATTATTATGATCTCTGAATGCATAATAATCTGACCACTCAGTGTATATCCTATATAATAAAAGGCTAATATGAAAATTGTCCCCTCCAACAGCAGGCAGGCCTGCCAACTACTCATGTCCCCTCTGCCTGGCTAGGCTGGCCAGACCTCACACATGCACAAGTTCCATACACCAGGCCTCTAGTATATAAATTCATGCACAGGGGTATGTGTCCCTCAGCCCAGCCTTTACCCTCTCCTATCTGGGACCCCTTGATGGATGTCAAACTGCCTGTTTAGGCCCTATCCCAGCCCAGCCTTCACCCTCTCCAATCGGACATCCCTCTCACAATCCAGGATTGCTGGCTCACAATCATTCTCCTGACTGCCTGATCGTCCCTAACTGCTTCTGCCTGCCAGCCTGATCACCCCCTAACCATTCCTCTGCCAGCCTGACCAATGCATAACTGCTCCCCTGCCAGCCTGTTTGCCCCTAATTGCCCTCCCCTGCTGGCCTTCTCCCCCCAACTGCTCCCCCCAACTGCTCTCCCCTGCAGGCCTGGTTCCCCCCAACTGCCCTCCCATAAAGGCATAGTCCCCCTCAACTGCCCTCCCATGAAGGCCTGGTCGCCCCAAACTACCCTCCGCCAAAGGTCTGGTTGCCCCAAACTGCCTTCCCCTGCAGGCCTGGTCCCCACTAACCGCTGTACCCTGCAGACCTGATTTCCCACAACTGCCCTCCCCTGCCAGCAATCTTGTGGCAGCCATCTTTGACCACATGGGGACAGCCATCTTGAGTTTTGGAGTGACCATCAACTTGTATATTAATCTTTTATTAGATAGGAAATATACACTGAGTGGCCAGATTATTATGCATTCAGAGATCTTAATGATCTGGCTACTCAGTGTATAATATAGAATAGTTGATAAAATTTTATGAACCTTCTTAGTATAAAAATCAAATATTCAGAAAAAAAGTTTAACACAACCATACTTTGAAAATGACAAAATATTATTGAGAGAAATTAAAGGTAAATAATGGAGAGATACATCATATTTCTGGAGAGAATGACTCACTATTAAAATGCTTAATTTCTCAACAATAAAAAAATTAATCTCTCCAATTTGATGCATAGATTCACTGTGTTTTCAAGAAACATTCCAACAATATTTTGTAGAAACCAGCAAGCTGCTTTGAAACAGTTCTGCCAAAACAATTTTGCAGAAGAAAATAAGGGAGTATTCACATTATCTGATCTCATAACTTTCTATAAGCTACAGTAATCAAAACAGTGGTTTGGCAGATGGACAGACATATAATAACAAGGAACATCACAGGGAATCCAGTAATAGATCCAATATGGTTAACTGGGCAAAGGAAAGTTAACAAATGATGTCAATGCAATTTAATATACACTTGGAAATAAGTAAGCCTCAACCTTCAGACCACATGAATTATTTAAAGACAAATTACATTCTTAAGCATAAAAGTTAAAATTATAAAGCTCATAGAAGAAAATATCTTCACTATCTAGAGGCAGGACACAATTTCCTAAGAAGCAGTAAATATAAAAAAAATAGTTTGATAAACTAATGCACTAAATTTAAAAATTGCTCATAAAAAGATTATTAAGAAAATGAATAGAGAACAAGGAATTTGTATACAGAGTGGTTATAAAATTTCTTCTAATCAGTAGCAGGAGGCAAACAACATACTTTTAAAAAGTTAAAGATTTAAGATATTTTACCAAAAAAAGTGAATGTCTAATATGTTCATGTAAACTTGCTCATCATCTTTACTCAGCAAAGAAAATTGAAGTGAGTATTTTTACGCTCACAAGAATGGCTAAAATTACAAACTGGCAACATCAAATGTTGGCACAATCTAGAAATATCCTATATAATAAAAACCTTAGATGATGCCCTCATGCAATGTCTTCACAAAATGGCCACCACAGATGGCAGGCTAAGGAGGGCAGTTGTGGGTGATCAGGCCAGTAGGGGAGGTCAGTTGGGGGCAGCCAGGCCTGCAGAGGAGGACAGTTGGGGGGGAAGCAGGCCAGCAAGGGAGGGCAGTTGGGGGTGAGATCAGGCTGACAGGGGATGGCAGTTGGGGGCAACCAGGCTGACAGAGGAGAACAGTTGTGGGCTGTCAAGTTGGCAGGGGAGGACAGTTGGGGGCAATCAGGCCAGCAGGGGAGTAGATAAGTGTCAATCAGGCAGGCAACCAAGCAGGCGAGCAGTTAGGAGCCAGCATTCCTAGGTTGTGAGAGGGATGTCTGACTGCTGGGTTAGGCCTGATCCCTGTGAGAGTTGGATATCAACCAAGGAGTCCCAGATTAAAGAGAACGCAAGCTGGGATGAGAAACACCCCCCCCCCCCCCGCCCACACACACACACATGCACAAATTTTGAGGACTAGGCTTCTAGTTGGAAATAATATTCTTTGCTAGAGATCCTATAAAAGTATACAATTTGAAAAAAAAACATGTAAAGTCTTTTATAAAATCAAAGTATATAATCCTGTTACCTATATATTCAACTTCTAGTTATTTCTTTCAAATATATATATAATGTGACTTATACAAGAATATTCATTCTCTGAAGAGTAAACAAATAACATATGATATAGTCACATAAATTAATACTGCTCAGAATTATTAATTGCTCTCTCTCTCTCTCTCTCTCTATATATATATATATATATATATATATATACACACACACACACAAACAAACAAACAAACAATATGTATTATTGGTTGTGGTTCACTTTTTACTCCAACCCCTGCACTGGTACTTGCTGCAACCTCTACCTGGTATTGAATACCTGGGAATAATCCACCAATTATTACAGACCGAATGGCTGCATCCACACAAACAAACAAAAAGACTTTATGTTTAGTGAAAGAAGCCAGATGCAAAATATTATGTTCTGTACCATTCCATTTATATGTATTTTAAGAACAGGCAAACATAATCCATAGTGATTGGGAACAATTTTCTATAATAATGATAGTAGACTTAATAGGGATTTCTTCTTCAGGATAGTATATACAGATTACAAAGTTTCTTTGGGCCTGTTTCTGATTAAATTTTGACCTTTGTTGTTGTTGTTGTTGGCTAAGAAAAAGCACATAGATTTAAAGCATAATACACTTTGCATAATTCCCTCATTTCCTATTAATTTCACTAGAGGTCCACTGCACGGATTTGTGTACCTATGGGGTCCCTGGCCTGTGACCTCTTGCAATTTGGGACCCCTCGGCATACATTGCAGTGCATGAAGCTGCAGATAGCTTGAGAGGAACATGAGCCCAGGGTGGGCACCATGCTGTTCTCACTCATTCCAGTCCCGCTGTGCCTGCTGCTGCTCAGAAGTGCTGTTGCAGAGGCGGGAGGGACTCACATCACCGCAGCTGCACTCGCCAGCCAGCTGTGAGCCCAGCGTCTGGTACCCTTCAATTGGTCAGATGAGTGGCACTTCTGCTGTAGGGAATGCACGACCCCCTGGTGGTCAGTGCATGTGATAGTGACCGGTTGAATAGTTGACCAGTTGCTTAGGGTTTATGTATATATATATAGATTGGTATCAACATTACTAGTAAAACTATTGATTAAACATAATTTTCAAATAACCTTTCAGCAGTTAAACTCAGTAATTATAATTTTAAGAAGTTTATGGGAGTCTTAACAGCATGAGCAATTGCTAATCATTTTTGTAAGCAACTCTAGTCAGCTAACCTATTTACCTGTATGATGTGTTTACCTATTCATTCATTACTGCATATCCACTGTCAGGATGGAGATTCAAAAATTATCTACATGCCACCAGCTAACTTATTATGCACAGACAACATAGGTTGGTACTCACCGATTATTATTGGTTGTGGTTCACTTTTTACTCCAACCCCTGCACTGGTACTTGCTGCAACCTCTACCCGGTATTGAATACCTGGGAATAATCCACCAATTATTACAGACCGAATGGCTCCATCCACACTTTTGTTGATATGAAATCGTGTTTCATTTCCCAGACACCAGATCTATAGAAATGTAAAGTGAATAACAAAACAAAAAAAAGTAGGATCATCCTTTGTCATAATTAGATCAATATAATAAATCAAATATATTTAGTAGTGATCAACTACTTCCTAGGCTTATAGAAGTATTTGTTATTGACATTTTTAAAGCATAATTTTTGCAGTGTGTGTGTGTGTGTGTGTGTGAATTAAGGAAAGAACAATAAGGAAAGCTGAAACTATGCCATATTCCTTTATATCTAATAATCAACACTGAATGCTCATAACACAGTAATTCACTTAATGACTGTATACAGTGGTCCCTGGTTGAAAACAGAATTTGCATAGGGATTAAAACATAAATTCCTCTTCTTAATTTACTTTTCAAGATTTATTATACATATAATATATTAAAATATGATTGTAACTTGTAATATTCAAAGTACATAGGTGTACATCTAAGTAATTTATATTTCATTTAAGAAAATATTAACTTACATAGAAGTAGCTAACAAGATTAATTGACTTAAGTTATAGGTATTGACTGAGATAAAATTAAAGTGAATATTACATTGATAGTAATAAATCTTAATATTGATCAATATATCCACACGCAAGTACATATGCATGAGAACAAAGTGTTGGGAAGTTTTTAAATACTAATGTGATGAAAGTTGGAATTTTACTTCTAGTAATAATAAAATTTTAAGGCATACATTCTTCTGGGATATGGAAATCTGTTACTATGAAAAATGTTATAAAAAGAAATGTGCTCTCTCTATGTATTTGTATTCTTATTTTATAGTATTTTATAATCTAGATACATAAAGAACGTAAACGGTTTATTTCTGGCATAGGTAAACTTCCTGAAGCTAATTCTTTAAAACAATATTTGTGAATTGTATATTTCTTTGATTTACACTATGATACCTGTGTTACTTTGGAGGAATATTTAGTCCTGACCTAAATATATATTGTTACCAAAATATGGCAATCTCATATAATTGAGAAAGCTTATAATTTATGACAAAATTTGTCATGTAAAAAATTAATTTTTAAGTAGATGGAAGTTTAGGATATTTAGTCTCAGGTTAAGCAATAGTAAAATGATAACATCAAAACTCACAAACACACACACCCACATCATAGCAGATTATTGTTGCTCTTAAAACAATGTGTCCTAAAACTGAAAAATCTTTAAAATTTATATAATTTTTCTGTTTTAAATCACGTTATTCTCATATTTCTTATACCCATGTTTTTATAACCTGATGGGAATAATTTTAAGTGCTTATGCACATTTCCCCCACTTGTTTCAGTAAATTAACCATACATTTTAAAAATTATATTTTAAGTTTATCATTTTTCTTAGAAATAACATAATTCAATCTGTAATGTTTTTGTAAAATAATTCAGCTTAATTTCACATACCATACATTAATTTCTGGGGCCAAGTAGGGTGTGTTGTTTTCCATCTAATAGAATTGTCTAGTTATTATTCTCAGAATTATGAAAATATTTACTAGTAAAAAATTATAGTTTTAAATTTTTGCAAGTTTTAATGAGGTTTAATGTGGTCTAATTACATCACCTAATCAGAATCTTATTTTGCAGTTATGAATCTTGTGTTTATAAAAATCAAATGATGATGAAGAAACAATAGCTATATACTGTTTCTTTTTGTAAATAAATCTTTATTGTTCAGATTATTACAAATGTTCCTCTTTTTTCCCCTGTAGCTCCCCTCAACCTGGTTCACACCCCACCCCATGCTATTATCGTCCACCACTATCCTCATCAATAGGTGTAAGACTTTTGTCCAATCTCTTCCTGCAGTCCCTGCACCCCTTCACCCTGAGAATTGTTAGTCCACTCTATTTCTATGCCCCTGATTCTATTATATTCACCAGTTTACTCTGTTCATCAGATTTTTTTTATTCACTTGATTTTTAGATTCATCTTTTGTTAGATATGTATTTGTTGTCACTTTGTTGTTCATAATTTTTATCTTTTCCCTTTTCTTATTCTTCCTCTTCTTAAAGAATACCCTTCAGCATTTCATATAATACTGGTTTGGTGGTGATGAACTCCTTTAGCTTTTTCTTGTTGGTGAAGCTCTTTATCTGACCTTCAATTAATAATGATAGCTTTGCTGAGTAGACAAATCTTAGTTGTAAGTTCTTAATAGTCATCATTTTGAATATTTCTTGCCACTATAATTTCAGAGAAATCAGCTGGTCACCCCCAACTGAGAAATCAACTATCAGTCATATGGGTACTCCCTTATAGGTAATTAACTGTTTTTCTCTTGCTGTTTTTAAGATTCTCTCTTTGCCTTTTGCTCTTGGCATTTTCATTATGGTGTGTCTTGGTGTGGCCCTCTTTAGATTCCTCTTCTTTGGGGTTCTGTGCTCTTTCTGGACTTGTAAGTCCATTTGTTTCACCAGGTGGGGGAAGTTTTCTGTCATTATTTCTTCAAATAGGTTTTCAAAATCTTGCTTTTTCTCTTCTTCTGGCACTCCATAATTCAGAAATTGGTATGCTTGAAGTTGTGCCAGAGGCTTCTATCTTCATATTTTTGGATTCTTTTTTCTTTTTGCTCTTCCAGTTGGGTATTCTTTGCTACCTTGTATTTCAAATTGTTGACTTGATTCTTGAAATTCTCTAGTCTACTGTTGAATTTCTTTATATTTTTTCTTTATTTCAGTCAGTCTATGCTTAATTTCTGACTGGTCCTTTTCCATTTTTTTTTTTTTTTTTTTTTTTTGGCATTTTCACTAATATCCTTGAAGGTCTCACTAAGTTCCTCAGAGGTTCCTAGAAGATTCTTGAGTAACCTTATAACTGTAGCTTAGAACTGTATATCAGTAACTTTCTTTCCTCTATTTCTTTCATTTGTGACATGTTTCTTTGTCTCCCCATTTTGGCTTTTTTTCCTGTGTTGATAGAGTGGCCTTCTGTGCTAAGTGTCCTATAGTACCCAGTAGCTCAGCCTTCACCATCGCCTGAGGTGAACACTCTCGGTGCATCCATTTGTGAGCTGTGTGCACAGTCTTGTAGCTAAGCCTTGATTGTTATTAGTATCACTGGGATGAATTGATCTCCAAGCCAATTGGCTGTGAGGATCAGTTGTATTATGATGGGAGAACTTATGTGCTGGAGACAACCTTATGGGGCAAGACTTGCTTCAGTGAGGCTTTGGTGCTCACTGAGTCTGCCTCTTGAGTATGTCTTTTATGGATGTGAAGATTTGTAATCTGACATTGTCTCACACTGACACTGGGTACACTGGCTCTTGGATCTCCAAGGAGATGCAAGATCAGCCACTACCTAAGACCACCCAGCAGGGGCTACAGAGAAATCTGCAGATTCTTCTTCTTTGTTTGGGGTTTGGAAGTGCCCTGATGATGTGAAGCAAGGCAGGCTACTGCAACCAAGAGCTTTGGCCCTTCTTTTGGATGCTTTTGAGCTCTCTGACCCCTGCAGTTTGGTAGGTTCTACTGCAAAAGGCCAGCCCATTCATATGCAAAATCCACTGTGCATAGCTTGGGTGGGGTTGTAAATGGGTGAGGCAAGGTGTCAGAGATTCACCAGGGCAGAGCAAATAGCAATGGCTGCTAGTCAGCCATTTCCACATCTCCAAGTCTCCACATTTCTGTGTCTCCATGTCTCTGAGTCTCTGTGTCCCATACCCCCACACTGGAATTATGATCTCTAAGGGCACCTCTCAGAGAAAGCTGCCCTTGAATTCCAGCTTGGTGCCAGACTCCAGTTTCTCCCAGTATGAATCTGGGTCCCCAGCATCTAGCCCAGAACTGGAGTTCAGAGCGATTGGGAGCTTGTATCTCCCTCCCAATTGAAAAAAAACAACAGTGCACCCAGTTGTCAGCCTGTTCTGCACATTCCTCAAGTACCTACACACTGCTGCACCTCCTACCAGTCTCAATGTGCTTTTCTCTTCCCTTCTAGTTGCAGAATTCCCCTCAGCCAGTTTTCCCATGGTTCCAGATGATAGTTGCTTTCTCATTTAGTTGTAGTTTTGGTGTGGTTGTGAGAGGCAGCAAGTATAGGTGTTTACCTATGCTGCCATCTTGATTCTCCCCCCTATACTGTTTCTAAATAGTAACAAGTTAAACTGAAAATTTAGATAATCGGCCATTTTTTGGTAACCCAGTTTTTTCAAAATGTATTAATGGCTTCCATTTTTTAATGAAATATTTTGGAAAATTTCAGTACATTGATAAAAGCAGATAAAAGCAGATAAAATCAGAATGGGAGTTACCAACCCTCCCATTCACACTCTAAACCCTGGAAGCATCTTTTTCTGAGAACACAAGTTAAAAATGCTGCTATGTGTTGCACAGCAATCTAATCAGAAACACACACACACACATACACACAAAAAAAAAAAACCCTCTCCACAATTATGGTTTACTTGTGCAACTGAGTTTGTATTATCTGTAACCTTAGGCTTATTCTTTTGTGTGTGTGTGTTTTTTAATTGTCACACAAATATGTAAATATTATTTTATGCTCAAATTCAAAAAGAGGGACACTGGAGATGTGCCTCATTCTTGCGATCTGGAGACTTCCCTGGGAACCTGCTCTGTGAACCTTCCTTCTTCACACAGGCCCTACCTTGTACTCTTGGATGATTCCATTCTGATGATCTGGAGGAGGAGGGTCCCAGGAAACACTAATACTTGTGATGTTGTGGCTTCCGACTGTCAGCACAGTGACAGACTGTGGGGGAGCACTTGGGGCTGTAGAAGAAGCAATTAGAATAAACACAAACTGTAAGTCTTGGTGTGCATTAATGGTGTTTGCAGAATACAAATATGAGGACAAGAAGCAGAAGATTCTGGTTTCCAGTATTCTAACTATACATATAATATTCAAGAGTGACAGTTTTTATAAAAATCTTTTAAATATAACTGATGGATTTAGAGTCAATACAATAGCTATATTTGCCTGTTTTGCACATTAAATTTAACAGCTAATATTATGAATAATTTCTATATACCTAGCACAGAGCTAAGTGTCAGTTTTAATTATCACAATAACCAGGTAAAAACACGGTAGAATTTGAACACAGGTATGTCTAATTATAGAACTTTGATCTAACATTTTATTAATCATTACCTCTGAGTGATGGCATTATTGACAATCTATTTATTTTAGTTTTATTAATAAAAACAGAGATACAGCTATAAATTTCACCAACAAATGAAAAATGCTTGTGTTTTCATATTGGGGAAAATAATTTACTGCTCTAAATTGACTCAGAATTTAAGATTTCAGACTTATTTTATACTGGTGGGCAAGGAACTCTGAAGCTAGAAATGAAAAGAGTTCATGATGGGTCAAATGTCTCATGGACACATTTTAACTTCTTACACATTTGCTTCCTTTATGGTTTTTCTTGTAATCCCACTGAAAAAAAGTGAGTGAGAAGAATTTCCCGATTTTATACTACAGTGCCTCCCATACAATGTATCTGTGAGCTAACAAATTCTAATTCTGATGGAAAACATGAATTCTCAGTGAACCTCTGAGTTTAAACCAAAGGAGAAAAATCAATATCAAAATCCTTATAGTTAAAACAAAATTCAAAGGATTATTGTATAAAAGGACCAATGCTTGCATAAGTCTACATGATTTGGCCCTTTGAAAATATATGCAATTGAATTGTAAAATACATTTTAAAGCCTGTCTATAAAGTCTCCATGTTTGGTAAATTTTGGTAATATTTGCATTCAGATGCAGGGCATACACATACCACAATGCCACCCTTTATTCTTCTTCTATGTGACAATATTGCTCTGAAATGTGGCACGATGACATACATCCCACCACTGTCTATCACTTTTGTAGTTATTAAGTAGGTAGTATTGAAAAATAAGTTATGAGAGCTAGTTTTTCATTGGCCTTTCTGCTGGCTTGGAGAGAACACCACGCATGCATCTTTACAGGTAAATTATTCCTGTGCCCAGCTTCTCTCTGTGGATGTGAAAGAACCCAAACCACCACTCATCATTCCCAGGCACAGGCCAGCTGAGCTCCATTTGTTACTTTCACAAGGTCTCAGAAATCAGAGATGAACATAGCGCAATGGGTGACAAATGTCTCATCCAGGGGAAAAGTCTAAGTGAGTGGAATTGATTTTGGAAGTATACCAGTACTTCAATGTAGGATTCTGCAGTGAATTATCCCACTTGGTAGTACTACACCTATTCAACCTAAAGTAAAATGTAATGGTGATGACTCTAATATTAATTTTTATTATTTTTTCTTTACATATCTTAAACATATATTAGTGATGCCTTAAAAACCTACACTTCTGCCCGTCAATGTATCACACTGTAAACCAATGTTAAGATAACATTTTCATGTGGTACTTACTATAAGACATGCATACTTGAAAAGCTCTTCAGTCAAATGAGCATTTACACATTAGCATGAACAACCGACATGCATTTTCTCAAATTTAGTATATTAATTTATATAAAGTATGTTTAGAAAAAAAGGGGGGGGGCTTTTTTTTTAATGGAGCCTATACATAAAATTAGTTCAAAAACAAAAAAGGAGAAAATTTATTTTACTTAGCATCTGACTTTTTTTTACTTTTATGATAGAATTTACTATAGGCCTGTAGTTAAGTAAAGAAGACACTACCCTGTTTCCCTAAAAATGAGACAGTGTCTTATATTAATTTTTGCTTCCAAAGATGCACTAGATCTTATTTTCAGGGGATGTCTTATCTTTCCATGTGCTAGGTCTTATTTTCGGGGATGTCTTATTTTCGGGGAAACACGGTAGTAAATTGACTGGTTGAGCCTACATTTATTTCATGTCTCTCACAAGTTGACTTTAAAGTACAGGAAGAAAAGTTCAGGGAAGACAGAAAAAAACTCCAAGGAGAAAACTATTGCAAACATGCAGACTTCTGAATTAGAAATTATGAGTCAGATCAGCAGAGGCCATGGGGAAGAAAACTTCAAGAAGAAAATGTCATTTTTTACTGCACCAACAAAAGAGGCATGATAATGAACAGCCTGTGCTCTTGAGTTTCTAGTAGCCTGTTTTGATGAAGCCAAGTGAGCCTAATCCATGGGGGGAAAAATTGCAATCAAGTTCCAATGTACTGACAAAGAAGATTGGGACAAATGTTTATAAATTATTTGAATGTCTTCTTCTTCTTCTTCTTCTTCTTCTTCTTCTTCTTCTTCTTCTTCTTCTTCTTCTTCTTCTTCTTCTTCTCCTTCTCCTTCTCCTTCTCCTTCTCCTTCTCCTTCTCCTTCTCCTTCTCCTTCTCCTTCTCCTTCTCCTTCTCCTTCTCCTTCTCCTTCTCCTTCTCCTTCTCCTTCTTCTCCTTCTTCTTTTGAGTTGTCAAATTTTATGGGATTCTCAGAACAAAAAGAGAAAAATAGCACTTCCTGGATTCACTTTTAGAGTCTCTCTAGCTAGTCTTCTAAGAAAGATGATAAACTAGAACTTCAACAAAAATTGGTTTCATTATGGTCTAAGTTAGGTTCATATTAGGAATCTGAATACTGACCTTCTTCGGTAGTACGAACTGTTTTGGATTCACTATCCATTCCTTGGAACTCATTAAAGTAAGGTCGTACTTTAATTTCATAAGTCACCCCCTTTTTGAGATTGACTAAGACAGCATTTCGCTCATTTGCGACTTTAGCATCTAAATTCTGCCATGTTGGTGTGGCCTGCAGGCCTGAGGTCTGGCGATACATCACACGGTAACCTTGAATAAACTGAGGCTGCCGGTCCACCTGCAAAACAAAGCAAAAAGCTTTTGAAACCAAAGGGAGGTATTTTAGACATCACAGTGGCTTGATCTTCATTTCTCTTTTCCCTGTTTCTGTCCTCATCAAATATCATCAGAGGATGCCACAGATTTCTATTATAACTCATATCCCAGCATCTTATACCCTCTTCTAAATTTGACTTCACATTGTTCCTAAGTTATTATTTAAAAAATGAAGAGTGGAACAACTCTCTATCTTGTTTAAAATACTTCATGGTACCCAAAATACCTACTTATTTAAAATTCTTTGGATTAGCACAAAGTCCTGTCAAGACCTAGACCTGCCAATTTTTTTAGCTCCATTTCTCATGTTTGTTCTTTTACTATATTCAAAAATCTGCTTTTGTGGTTGCAAATACAGTGTGGTGTTTGTTAGTGATTTCCATTCTCATCTCTTGTCCATTCACTAACACCTTCACTCAATCAAAAACAGTTTTTGAGTTCCTACTAATAAGCACCAGGAATTTTGCTTAAATGTAGGGACTTATATGCATGCCTATAAGTCTAACCAATGGACAGAGACACCAGGGGGTAAGGGCATGAGTGGGGGTGGGGGGAATGGGGGGATAAAGACACATATGTAATACCTTAATTAATAAAGAAAAAAACATATTAAAATGTAGGGATAAAATTAAAAGAAAATAAGTCAGTCCTTGCCTTCACAGTGCTTAGAGCCCAAGGGGAAGATGGGAATTGTCTAATGATCACCCAAACAATGTCGTCATAGTAATAACAAATAGACATAAACAAATGCTATGATTGAGATGTACAAGGGGCTAAGAAAGCCTGGAGTGGAGAAGAATTTGGCTGGATCAGGAAGAGAAGATAACGTTTCCCTAAAGGTGTGCTGAGATGAGACCTATAAGGACAGTGGAATCTATCCAATGGAAGAGCAGGACCACGTGTGTCCAATTCCTGTTGATGGTGAAGCATGTGAAAGTCCAAAAGTTGTGGAGCTAGATCATATTTTAAATGGATTAAATAGTTTATAACCCTCAACAGATATTAAAGACTTTTATTAATTTACCAAGGTCCCACTACTGGCTCAATCTAACTTTCTTGATCCTTTCATTCATTTAAGGTAGAGGATAAACAGCTGTTCTTGAAAATCTGAGATTTTAAATCTCAAAACTGATATCAAATAGAAATTTTAAAAATTAGTTCACTTATAATAATTACATAAAACCGAATACATAAAAATGTAAGCTAAAAATGAAACCTGTTCTCTTTACATTTATGAAACAATATTTACTGGAGTACTACCTTTTTTTTTTCAGGGAGAAAAGGACTTTTAGCTTTTTAAAATGTCTTACCATGTTTTTAGAAATGCTTGACAAATATAAATACCATAGCATCTTCTCCAAGTAACATTCCATATATTATAGTTTGCTAGTCCTATTCTAGAAGGCCTTTCACTTGACATATTTCAGTCAAAGGAAGTGTAAAATTTAATGGAGAAGAGATGGAAGACCTCATTTTATGAATTTTGAGGAGAAAAGAAATAGAATATGTAATGATAAAAATGGTTATTTCAGCTTTTTAAAATTTCTTTATTCAACTGTGAACACATTATAAACAAATATTATTCTTTTGTGTATTAAAATCTAACCTCTTGAGTTGTAGCTAGCATTCAAAACATTTTTACAGAATCACAGTCAAAATACCACAGAACAAAGGAACAGTTTTTTTCTCCTGTATTGAAAATGTCCAAGTTAGAAAAACCCATGAAGTTGATGAAAGTAGACATGTGTGTTTCTATGTATAGTTAATTCTAGTTTCAGAGATGAGTCTCATCGAGTAAGAATTCCTTTATCCACCTGACAGCTTTCTAACCCTCAGCGATTTTCTGATATTAGTGCTACTCTTATGTGAGGTTATGTCATGAAAAAGTCAGCCCAGTTCTGATGCCAAAGCCATGGTCTTTGAATCCTCATCCATGCCACAAGTTTGAGTTTACACCAATGGACATATATTTTTGAAAAGCAGAAGTTTTTCTGACATTAAAAAACAAGGCAACTAAAAAGCCAAAAGTTAAATTTATGAGAGCCACAGGGAGTTGTCCTTCATCAAAACTGTCAGTATTCTAAAATATCAGCACAGCATATGTTAAAACAACATTAAACTTGCATTTTATAAAATTCTCTGCATTCGCTTTAAGTGAATTTATATACTGAAAGAAAGACATAACTCACAATAATAGCTTGTTAATACTGAAAGAAGCAAGCTGTGTTTTTAAAAAGCACATTAGGCAGCTGTTTCCAGATGAAGGGAGCCTGTAAATCAGGGTAAGTTGGTTTTATCCATGTTTGGTTTTCATTAATTAAGTGTTTTAGGGCGTTTACGGAGTTAATGTTTACTATACAACATTGCCTTGCTCACTTCAGTGTATATGCCTTCAACCAGCATGTTCTAATGACCCACTTAATAACTAAATAGTCCGACTGGATTTTGTGCAGTTGCAATACATTCTTTTCTGGGAAAGAAAAAAGTTGTTGTTACAGGTGGAAGCAAAAATGAAAATGCTGAACACTGACTTTAAAAAACTAGGTAGGATTTTTATTGGATATGCATTCTATGCTATTGAGTTCTGAAGCACATTTTGACAGGTGGTCATTTTCAAGTTAAATCATATACTTGTTACTAATTTTATTACCATTCTGATTATGAGTCTGGACATAATTCCATCGGTTTATAAAATTTTTAAATTTGGTATTTTCTGAAATATGAGTAAAAAAAGAGTTGTCTTAAGGGAAAAGTGACATGATGAAGAGAGGGTTAGTCTCAGTTGAGTTATAGCTTAGCCTCAAACTTTCTGAGTCTTAGGTTCCTTAATTTGTTCAAATAACACCCATGTTACAAGGGCACAGACTCAGTTAAAGGACTACTATAAGTTAAAACATTTTGCAAGTTTTAAAGATGCACAATGATAAAGCATCGCTGTTAAGTAAATGATATACTAAAAAACAGGTGTACACATGTGTCCCTCATATCATCATTTGCATTAAAATGTTTAAGATATGTAATATTTATCTTTTCAATGTGAAAAAAAAATCCACCTAAACTCAAAAGTCAAAACAAATTTTCTTAGGTGGGCTTGGCCTGCTAAGTGACTGGTCTGGACTTAGCTTAATTCTGAGCTTGGTTGACCAGGGCACTCTTTTTCACCTCCCGTAGCTGTAACGCTTAAGAGCAATGAGTCTGTGATTCTTTTTGTCCTTGAACCAAAACATACATACACACACACACACACACACACACACACGCACACACAACAGAATAAATATTTTTAAATGTAATAATTATTGCCATTTTTCTTTGTGAAACAGCCATTTTCATATCATTTATGCTAACCCTCATAAAAATAGTCATTTTTAGAATGTAGCATTACTAACTATTGCTGTCTCAAAATTCGCCTTGTGTAGCATGAGTGTTTTGTGGTTGGTTTTTTTTTGTTTGTTTGTTTTTTTGTACAAGTGTCATGTATATTTGAATCCTGCCAACTATTATAGATACCTTCTCACTTGGCCCCAAATCTAAACACATGGGCTGGAGAATATAATGGACCCCTTAAGCCCAATACATCAGTAACTCAAATAATGTGATAATTTTAAAAGGACATGCACATTTAGAAAGTTGAAAATAGGACGTTGAAATGAAATAATTGGTCATCCCCAACCTCATCCCCAGTTGGGCTTTCATTTACCTCTCAACTACATCCATATCTCAAGGGGAACAACACTCTGTGATATATTAAACATTTTTTAAATGTATGAAATAATTGAGTTTGTCATGTAGCAGACAGTTACTGAAAATGTATTTCATAAATGTTGCTTTGCTCTGAAAAAAACAGAAATTAAAAATATAGATTCCAGACTCTCAGAAGTCAAGTTCATGAGGGAGAGAGATATGAAAACCAGGAATGACAATCTTATTGGGATGTAAAGATGACTATGACAAGGTCCCTTTCCTGAAAAAACTCCCAGACTACTGACCTGTAGTTTTTATGTGATTTCATGTATTCTTTTTAACTCCATGATTTTTAGAGTGATTGATTTTATGAACATAAGGACTTTGATTCTTATCCAAATAATTCCCACATTTAGAAGGAGCTTTATAAAGCCCCTTCAGTGGAGCAGATAAGACTTTTTCAATTGATAATGAGTAAAAATCTGCTATTAAAAATACAACTATTTCCTTAGCCTTGTTAGTTTTGTATCTAGTCAAAGCTACAGAAAATGGATGAGGCATGACAGATATCACCCTACTGTGCCATTGGAAAAAAGATGAGGTCATTAGGTTCCCTTCATAGGAACAGAAGAATAGGACTCATTATATGCAGAAAATAGAATGTCTATGTGAAATTATATAAAAATGAAAGTAGAAACAATGTAATCCTAGTCATAATTACTCTTAAAGTGTTATTTTTGCTAAAGTATCACTCAGTTTTGTACTCAGAGGCCAAGAACATGGCTAATCAGATGGTGTGGTTTAAGAAGCAACAAAATGCCCTACTCAGGACCAAATGCTGAAATCCTTCCATTAAATATCCCACTGTGTATTTGTCTACAATTTGTCTTTACAGTGAAATCACTGCTAGCAGATTTGAAGTAAGGAAACCCTAATGTTATTCTTACTTATAAATATACATGGGATTTAGGAACATTATTTAATCTGTCTGTATTGGTTTTCTTTATTTCTTTTAAAAATATATTTATTGATTTTTTACAGAGGAAGGGAGAGAGATAGTTAGAAACATCAATGAGAGAGAAACATCAATCAGCTGCCCCCCTCTGGGTATGTGCCCACAAACAAGGTATATGCCCTTGACCAGAATCAAACTTGGGACCCTTGAGTCCGCAGGCTGATGATCTATCCACTTAGTCAAACCAGTCAGGGCTCCTTTCATAAAATTATGAAGTTAGAGTAAAGAGCCTTAACATCTAAGTTTCACCCATTCTAATAAGTAAGACCTCCATATTTTCTCAAAGAGAAGTAGAGGAGAGGTAATATCTTTTCTGTTTTTTTTGTGGATGGAATTAATCACTTCCTCTTTGATTGAAACCTGTCTATAGAGAGCATATATTCATATATACTTGTTATGGAACATATTTCTGTATATTGTCATTAAGAATTTGCATGACAGAAGGCAGCCGATTGATGATTCTCTCTTCTCATTGATGTTTCTATCTCTCTCATTCCCTTCCTCTCATAAATCAATAAAATATATTTAAAAAAGAATAATTTGCATGATTTGTGTCTTTTTATATAGCCTCTGTACACACATACATTGGGTACAGAATTGGTTCTCAAAAAAGGCTGTTGGACTGGATTTGTTCAATGGGTTTAGTATTTATTGAGAGAACACTGGAAGAATTCTATTCATTGTGTTCTATATTTCAAATATAATTAATTAAGATTGATGAAAATAACCATTTCCCCCTCAATTTTTTTTGTTGATGAAATTAATGGGAATGGGTGAGACAATTATTTCCCCAAAGGAACTTGGAGGAAAAGTAATTCAGTTTTTGGTCTTTTTAAAAAATATTTTTACTTACAGTCATTCGTCTACAATAAAAAAAAAAACAGAGACATAATTATAAATACTTTATAATAAAAATTATAATTAAAGTGAAAACTCTTCTAGGTATGTCTAACTAAAATATCCATTACTTATATAACATACAAAATCTATCACAAACACAGAAGACTGAAAGAATGTATGCCTTTCTGTCATCCTGATAGATGTCTTCATGGATTTTTAGAAATTATAGCAGATCTTTGAAATAAAGGAGAAGTTGGCACTAACTGTACTAGGCTCAAGGAAAACTATCTCTCTCTTCACAAAACACAGACACACACAGACTCATGCACATGCATAAGAGTTAGCATTTTCTAATGTGACTGATATGGCTATCTTTATAGTATTTGTTGTTTCTACTGAAATGGCTACTAAGTGGGTCAAAAAATTTTGTATTTTGAAATGACAGTGGGCGGGTTGACATTTATTAATACACTAAAGGCCTCTAGCAGGTCACTTGTGCACTGAGGGGCGTGGTCCCTCAGCTCAGCCTGTACCCTCTTGCAGTCTGGGACCCTTTGGGGGATGTCCACCTACTGTTGTAGAGGCAGGAGAGGTTCCCACCACCGCTGCTGCACTCGCCAGACAAGGTTGAGTCTACCAGATGTGAACCTGGTTTCTGGCAGAACAGTGCTCCTTGTGAGAGGACACTGACCACCAGGGGGCAGCTCCACTGTTCCACTGTTTGGTCAATTTGCATATTAGCTTTTTATTATATAGGATGCAATGGAACACTGTAGCATATATTAAAATATTAATTCATTTTTTAAGACCCATTAATTATTAAACTTAAATGTCAACTTATTAAAATTATATTTGTACATGTTTGGTGCTGCTGAATGAGATTCAACTAAAAGAATATAAAGATGTTTGATTTAAATTCACAAGAAGTTTTCATCAAAATTAAAATATTTTGTGCTTCAATTACCCCATTAAGAAAGTAAGAAACAAACTATAGATTAGGAGAAAATGCTACCAATTATATATCTGATAAATAACTTGTATTCAACATATAAAGAATTATTACATAACTGTAATAAGAAGACAAACAATCCAATTTAAAAATGGGCAAATCATTTAAACAGAGATTTTCTTAGTAAGATATATAATTGCTCAGTAAACATGAAAAGATTCAAAACATCAGTAGTAATGAAACAAATGCAAATGAAAACCACAATGATATATCATTCATCATTCATCAGAATAGCTTTAATAAAAAAGACAGGAGATAAGAAGTGTAGGTGAGACTATGAAAGAAATTAGCAAGGATGAGAAAAAAACACTGGAATCTTAAAATATTGCTAGTGGGAACATAGGATGTTATAACCACTTTGTAAAAAATGTTGGCAGTTTATCCAATGTTAAACATTATCATTATTACTCAATAATTTTTAGGTAAATATCAAGATAAATGAAAATAAATGTTTACTTGCACACAAATGCTCATGCACCATTATTCATGATAGCCTATAGTAGAAACAACTCAAGGTGTATCAGCTGATGAATGAACAGAAAGATGTATATGCTAAATATGTATGCTGTAAAGGAATGCTATTAAGAAATAAAAGGAACAAAATACTGATACAGCATGAATAGACCTCAAAAACATTATGCTGAGTGAAAGAAACCAGGCTCAAAAGACCACATATTGCATTTCATTCCTATGAAAGCAATAGGCAAATCTATAGAGACAGAGGGTAGATTAGTGGTTTCAGAAAGCTCAAGTGAAGGGAATGGAGAAGGGACTGCTAATGGGCACAGGATTTAATTTTGGGATGATGAAATGTTCTAAAATCAGATTTTGGTGATGATTGTGTGACTTTGTAAGTGTATTAAAAAAAGTTGTACATTTTAACTTTAGTATATGAATTCTATCTCAATAGAATTATTCTTTCATCTATTGAATACTTTTCTTTTTTGTGATTAAACTGTCAGAGTTTTATTACCATTTTAAGTGGTAATAAATGATTTTAAATGGTCAGGGTTTTATTACTATTTTTGGGGTTGTTGACTTATTTTTTCTTCTTTGGTTTGTTTTCTTAAAGGAAAAAAGAGACTATTATTAACATGGCCTTTCAGAACTTACTGTCCATGTGACTTGAACAGTCGTGGGAGTCAAAACAACCGGAGTATGAAGACGAACAATGACATCTCCCAGTTCCTTCTGTACTTGTCTGTGGTCCACTCCTTGTGCTGGTGGGCTGATATCTACAGGTAGACAACCATTCCCAAATTTTAACAATTCATAGTAAAATTCTAATGTATGTTATATAAGCTAATAATATTCCATTAGAAATAATTACAGGGAAGATTTTTTAAAAAAATATTTGTGACAAAAACATTAAAGAGTATTTATATACTACCACAATGCTAAAACATAATTTAAAAGATTATATTTATCTTCACTAAAATAATATTAATTAAAGAGTATATGCAATCCTTCACCCCATTCAAATACATTGTTGTGGAAAGTCTCATTATTTTCTTATTAAAGAATAAAGAATGTGCTGTTTTCTATGGAGACATCAGTATTATATAGATGTTAAAAGACTTTCTTGAGTATCTAATAATACTTGTTCCAATTAGTAAATTGTGTGTTCTTACTCCTTGACCTACTTCAGACTAGCAACATGGAAGAAAAATAATCAGAGGGACAGGAAACTTGAAGTATATTATTAAAGGTAGACAAAGTCAGGGGGAAAAGGGAAGGAACCCCCAATATTCACAACAATACTTTTGACCAAAACAATTAAAATACTGATAAAGTGTCCTAAAGTAATAAAATTTAAGCAGTGCCTCAATATCCAACAAACTTTTTTACATAGGGCCCAGGGAAAGAAAGAAGAAAACATAGATTTTCGATATTTAAAATGATATATCTTTAACCAGTACCATTCATTTAAATACTCTTCTCTTGTTCCATATATATAAATAAAGCCCGGCGCATGAAACTTGTGCATTTTGGGGGGTGGTCCCTCAGCCTGGCCTACGTCTGGGAGCTCTCAGGAGATGGCCAACTGACAGCTTAGGCCATCAGTAGGACATCGTTAGCACTGCTGTGGAGATGGAAGAGGCTCCTGTCAACACCACTGCAGTTGTCAGCCATGAGCCTGGCTTCTGGCTGAGCAGTGCTCCCCCCATGGGAATTCACTGACCACTAGGGGGCAGCTCTTTTGTTGATTGTCAGCCCCCTGGTGGTCAGTGAGCATCATAGCAAGTGATCGTTCTACCATCAGGTTGAAACTGGCTCTTGGACATCCCCCCCCCGAAGGGTCCCAGATTGCAAGAGGGCGTAGGCCAGGCTGAGGAACCCCACCGGTGTACAATTGGGTCTGGGGAGGGACATGGGAGGTTGGCTAGCTAGCTGGGGAGGGACCACAGGAGGGCTTCCGGGAATGTCCAGTCCATCTCACTCAGTCCTGATCAGCTGGACTACAACAGCAAGTTAATCTACCAGTCAGAGCATCTGCCCCCTGGTGGTCAGTGCACATCATAGTGACTGGTCAACTGCCTGCCACAGGTGGTCAGTGCATGTCATAGCAAGTGGTTAAGTGGCCTTAGCATATAATTAGCATAGTATGCTTTGGTTGAATGGCCAACTGAATGACAGGACACTTAGCATATTTGGCTTTTATTATATAAGATGGTTTATATTACATGTTCATTGAAATATATAAATGATAGATGTCCAAGTCCATCAAATTGATATGAAATACTGAATTTCACAATACTCAAATCAGCTTCTTTAACTGGTGCACTATAATGTTAAATCTATTTTTTTTCTCCAGATACCTTATTTAAGAAAGTACAACTTTAATTGATTTATTTTCTTAATCTTCTTTTTCTTTATTTTCTCTGACCACAATGCCACACTCTTGAAAAAATATTTTAAGTACATATCTCAACCATAACTTAACTGGGGTTCACCAACTTAAATTGGGGCATCAATAATTGGGACCTACACTTTGGTCACTATTTTCCAGTTCCATTTTTCCCCATTCTTAACATAAAGATCATCTCAAGTTTTACTTAAAACAAAAAAATATTAATAATATTAGGTGAATAATGTCAACCTTTATGGATATATCTATGGTTTATTATGGTGATGTTGATGGTGCAAGAATATGCTGCCTTACTAAAATAATTCTAAATTCTATGGTATTTTTTTTTTAATTCTATGGTATTTAACATCTTTTAAAAATAAGAGCACATACAGCAAAACATTCTTTGAAAAGAAGAGCTTTTCAAATAGCAAAGCTGCTGAAAGTGGTATCAAAAACTTCCTGATGTTCAGGCACAAAACATGTGTTTTCCTATTAAACACCTGTTAGGAGAATATAAGCATTTTTTCTTCATATAGTCTCTCAGCTGGAACAAGTTCAGATCACAAAGAACTTTTCATTAATATTTTGTTTTGTTTTACTTTTTCACCAAGAAATTATTTTATGAGTCGGGAATTAGTGACTGGCACAAATATTGAATGATCCAGGTTTGTGGGGTATAATCACATGATAAGCCTTCTACATTCTGGTATCTTTCCATCTTCCTTCATGGCTGCACACAGAAACTGCCTGCTTTCTATCTACACAGTTAAAATGATCTAGGTATTATTATTTAGTGATTTAAAACCATTCACCTTTTCCTCTTTAAGTTCAATAATTTAATTTACTCATTAAATGTGGACACTCTAAGAGCAATTGGATCCAGGCAAGGTAAAATATAACTAGTTTCAGGTCTTCAAATTCCTTATTGTTGTGCTTTTTCTCTCTCTCGAGACAGGTTCTTTAGCTATAGGTCCTTTATCATTATGGAAAATTAATCACATTACTGCTTACAGAACAATAGCAAGTGGCATTCTCTCCTCCCTTGACTGTCATCATGTCAGCAATATTACAAAAATCACGTGGTAACTTTATTTCACTTGATTTCTTTAAGGTCTCCTTCTCTGTTATAATAGCATGCTAGTAACTATTGCTGAACTACATTATAATTATAATAATATTTTATGGCTGTATGGTGCTTTTCATAGTATAAAAATACTACTTTGAATTGTATCTTGTTCAAAGCCTTTAACAAATAAGAAATGATTAACCCTTTCTCAAGAACCTGTAGGGAATAGGTTTTAACAAATAATAAAGCAACCATTTCTATTTTATTAATTCTCTTTGTCTACTAGTAGGAACAGAAATTAGAATGCCACATTTTATATTAATCCTTAGACTCCAATGACTTCTCATTTTGAAGAGACAGGCTACTAAAAATGAAATGAGATGCCTTCCATTTAATCTTGTTATAATGTTCTGGTTAGGTGTTTTGTGTTTTTAATTAGTCTAAAGAATTACATACCTCTGGAAGAAAACTTGGTTTACTTCTTTCTGAAACAAATTGCTCCTTTAAATCTCTGGTTTAATAAAATTCTTGTAGTGATTCTTGTAAAAATTGTCAAAAACAACAGTAACATCTGCCAGGCACCTGAACACAGACTCTGGGCCCCCCTCCCAGGGCATCTGGGATGGGGCCTGAGCACCTGCATTTGTAACGTGGTCTCAGGTGATGAGATGTTGCTTCCAAATCACACCTTGAGAGCCACTGTACTAAAGAAACAAAATTTCTAAACAGTAGGGAGTAATATTGTCTTTATCTGGGCATCTTATCCATTCCAGGTCACTGCATAATTAATTTCAAAAAAGGAGAAACGTTTTCCTCCCTTTGAAATATAGTAATGTCTTAAATTTATTCACTCTTACTATGTGAATATATTCAATTATTTTGTTTATTTTGTCCTAAATAGACCCTGACAACTCCAGAAAAAGGATACACTCACCAACGTGCACAGCATGTTCCCTCCAAACTGGGTCAGTGGGTTAGTTCTAATGAATCATTATAGCAAGTAATACATTTATCTTTCTGGTGCAATCCCTTTGTTCTGAAACATGTGCTAATGCCTCCTTCTAGAGCCAGTCATATTTACAGCTATGAAATTACCTTGTGTGCGCACAGGATCTGACATAGTGCTTGGGTCACTGAGGCCTTGGGGGTTGATTGCTCTGACCATGAATAAGTAGATTGTATTAGGCCGCAGTCCTCTCACTGTATAGAGTGTGGTCTTTACATGGTTTGCTACTGTCTGCCAGCTATTGCTCACTGATTGGCTGAAACAAGAACAGAAATTTCACTTAAGGTACTGGAAATGGGTATCAATGACAAAAGTTAATGATTGAAAATTAAACACACCCAATATACACACACACAAAAAAAAAACCACTTGGATTTTCAGCCTAATAAATGAAACATTTGGATTATTTCAGTTTGTTCAACAACAAAGCTAAGCCCACCTAATAAAAGTGCCGTGCACAACAAAATTAAACTCAGCCCAGGAGATGTGGCAGCCCTTTGCTAACGCACAGCAGCCTCCTAAACGAATACCTATAAAAGAAACAGAGGCTAAGATAACAACATCAAGTTTGTATAATAAATATGGTCCTCACAAATGTGTATATATAAGTGTGTGTGTGTGTGTGTGTGTGTGTGTGTGTGTGTGTGTGTGTGTATACCTTGAAAAAATTAACCTGTAGAAAAAAATAAATGGACTACAGAGTAAATTATGCCAATACACCTTTCTGTTACAAGGTGTGTTTCATTTTGATCATTTCCACATGCAATATTATAATAAAGGCTTCTAAAACTACATATCTGTAAAAGAAGAAAGGAAGCATGGTTTGAGTATTTTCCCCTGGTCACATTTTTAATAAAACCATACATTACACAGTATTGTGATTTCCCATCTTGGAATGAGGACCTATCTCTGAACCCCTTACAGCCAGTTACAGACAGCATGCTCGTTTAGAGCTCTTTGTCTGAGATCAACTATTCCCTTTGTTTAAAATGAAGAGAAAATGCAATTTTCAGCACCTTCCATTAATTTTTCAAAAGTAAGTCCTTATCCATCAAAGCATGGGAATTAAAGCAAAACATATTTTTGAAATTTGAAAACTAAGCGCTCATCATTCCATTAAATTAAATAAAAGCATTTTTAAGCATCTGTCATAATGCTTGGAAATACAGTGGTCATCACTATCCTTATAGTAGCAAATAAAAACACATTGAGATTGAATACAAAACTATATTTTCCTATTTTATAAGTATCAAATTCCTGTAAGACAATTTTATTATAACATTTACTAGCTTATAGTTTATATCCTTAAACTGATGACAATTAATTCAAGTAACAATTAAACATGTCTTTTATTTTCAGCAAAAGAGATACATACAATAATCTTAGTTGTGTTTTTAATTTTCTCTTAAGCATAACCAATAGACATATTCAAATATTTATCATAAAACAATGGAATTATTTTAAGTTCTTCTCTAAGTATTAGAAAGCAAAATTCCAGCTTTCTGTGCCTCAATAAACATTGCATAACTTAAAAGTTCCTTGTGCCTAATTAAATTATTTTCTTCTTACTTCTAATGCTGAAATTCTCATCTTAAATCCTTATAATGGACAGGGTAAACAAAGGAGCTAAGTAATTATGTCATAATTAGATCCCTATAAACTTAGGCAGGGATAATACATATTTAATCTTATAATTAAGGTTAAAATGAAAAAGAAACACACTTAAGTCTATTCTTGAATAAAGTCAGATTTAAAGTAAATTCTTAAAATGTACTGATTAATCACATCCTTAAAATAAAAATGCAGGAGATTTTAGGAATAGGAGCTAAAGCAAAACCAAATGGAGAAAACAGGAACTATTCCATACCTGAACGCCTCAATGATATATGAACTTGCCGGGAGGGTTCCAGGGGTACCTGGTTGCCAGGACAAGGTGACACTGTTCTTAGTAACATCAGTGACCTGTGGTTTGGATGGTGGTCCTGGCAGGTCATTTAAATCATAATTTTTACTGATTGTTGCTCCAGATTCTATACAGGACAAACAGAAAAAGCTTAATTCCTGAATGCATATGCTGATGACTATGTTTAAAAATCACCTATTAAAGAAGTTGACCTACTCAATGAACAAAAGTATATAAATAACATTTGCTTTTCCTACATGTTACTAAATGTTTGCTTTCACACATGATCACTAGGATTGTTTTCTCTTTAGATTGAGAAAATAAAATAACGAGGTTGTCAAGGAAAAATGTATCAAATTGCCTATATGTGATGCTATGTGCAAGAGGCGCAGGAATTAAAAAGTGGCATGAAAATTTTTACATTTAATGAATTCAAAATATTGATTTCTTCTTAACTTGGTATTTGATAATGAGATAATCACTAAAATGGACTCAAGATTTCTTGAGTAGATGATTTCTGGGAAGATAATTCACAAAGAATTCACCTGTGACATCCAGCACAGCACTCCAGGAAGTCTCCCCACTTGAACTTGTAGCCACACAAGTGTAAGTTCCAGTATCAGAAATCTAGTGAGCAAGGCAGGGAGAGAGTTAAAGTGCTTACAATCATTTTTTGAAAATATTGAAAAATTAAAAATACTAAATATTTCTCTTTAAAGAGATCAGTAGTCAGCTCTATTTAAATTGTAGCAGTGTAACAGTGAATGGAATGGAATTATATGATTAAGAAACAAACAAATTATGCCAATGGAAAATTGCAATTTAGAGCTGAAAGAGACCACAGAAATAATCTAATGCATAACTCATTTTGTAAGTGTACATAAAAGTAGCCATTTTATTAATCACTTAAAATATTTATGTTATTTGTTGAAGAATAATAGAAGACTTTTAGGAATAATTAATATTATAATTGAAAGTTCTATTTTACAAATGTAACATGCAGAATACTCTATGATCATGCATTGACAAAAGCCCCGAGATCAAATAAGATGTGTGGTTGAGCCCTGTGGGCTTACATTGCAAACATTAAGTGGTATCAGTTTACTGCTGAAGGAAGAGTGAGTCTGGAAAGAGAAAATGATGACCACATAGAATAAAGCAAGTTAGATATAGAATTGAAATTCTGTGGTGAACATGAGTCTAATTGTTGATGAAATATGAGAGTTCATAGAATATACTACCTGCTGGCTTCAAAATATAAGTGTATGGAAGACTGAACTTTTCACAATTGATTCTCAAGTAAATCTTTAGTTCTTGGATATTACTTTTATTTCATTTTAATTTATTTTACATGTCATTATGTATTTTAACCTAAGGTTCAAATTGCTCTGGAATGTCATTCTTTGCCATATTACCTTCATACAACTATCTCCCATTATGGGAGTGATGATGGGGGAGATCCTTTGTGGGAAAAGTTCTTCTTTCAGATGAGGCTGAGCACATTACAGTCATTAGAAATCTTTTCATTTAAGAAGCATCACTCACAAACTAAATATAATGAGCCGAGTTGGATTTTAATGGGATGTTCATTTGAATATGGTCTCCGAAAGAGTAAAGAATTTGCATTTTATTATAGCTGTTGAACTAAAATGTAGCACTTGTTATTACGTGCAAATGCTAAAAGAAGGGCATGTAGGTAAAGCTCCTTAATGGATCTCCTTGTCATTGTGGGGAGATACAAGTCCGTCATTAGCTGTGGTAGGCATCCTTTAATGAGTGTTCAAATATCCTCCTTCTCAAAAGATACAGATTCAGCTACGAATTAGCTGAACTATAGAAACACAATGTTCATCATTCTATTTCCCCCCTTGCATAAGTACTAAAAAATACATAGTGAGACACAAAGGAATATAACCTACAGAAAGTCTTTTGATATAAGTGAAGTACTGTAAAACCCATTTTTCTATCCCTTTAAAGACAGTCATATTACAGAAAAATAATCATTTTTTTTAAGTTTAGCAAAGGTGTTATCAAAAGCCTAAATCTCATCGCTAAAAGTCACTTCTATGTCATCATCATCATCACATTCATTTTTATTCCTTCAACTTTAAATAATGTCTTTTATGATCAGAAGTATTTCAAGGCTTCCCCACCTTTTTCCTTTTATCCTTAAGCAAGTGCTTTAAAAAGAGATTCATGTGCTGTCAGCCTCCATTACCTACTGTTCTCCTTGTGCAGTTGGCTGCAGACAAGTCCCCAGGAGCCTGCATTTCAGACAGACCACTCAGGAGCCTGTCAGAAGGCTCAAAATTTGACATCATCAAGCACCCACCTTTAATTGCTTTTTTCAAACATTACTTGAGATCCTGACTATTCAAGCACAACCTCTAATTCAGCAGTACAGTGAAACTGCATTAACCTCCATGGCCCAAGTCTGCCTTTAACCCAGAGAGAGGTTAAAATATTTACTTAAGGGGAGTTGGCATTAATTTCTAAATAACTTCCATTTTGTTCATAGAAGAATAACAATTAATTTACAATCAATAAAAAGACAGGCTAAAATCTATATTAATTTATTTTCCTTTTAACTGAATTAAAAAGCATTTTTTCCTACTTTGAGCAATAATTATATGCTTGTGTCTCAAAATAAAATTGCATTTAATATATTGAATATTTGTGTTTCTGTGTCTGCACACACAATGTAAAAATAGAAAAGTTCTTTCTTTTTGTATACATATTTGTATGATATACTGATAAATACAAACTAAGTGTGTGATTGCAAATAATTTGGCATTGTAAGTGAACATTAGGAGTATTTTAAAAGGGGAAAACTCAACATTGTTTTTTGCGCTTTTTTGCTGTGTTTTTTCTTCATCTTGGTTCCTAATTTTTCTCTAGATTCTACTAACTCTTCCATTGAACCATTTTCAGTCAATTTTTATTTGTGCACTATTACATCTACCATCTTAGTGCGGGCTCTCATTCCCAATCTTGTGATTACTGTAATATATATTCAAGTGTTGGCATAGTGCTTGCTGCATAAAGGGATGCTCTCTATATTTGGTTGAATGAATTGAATATATTTGAAGGGCAGGTCACCTCCATGATATATCCTCTTGGTAGTTACACCTTGTATAATTCCTCAGCTTGCTTGTGGAAGGCCGGTTGATTTACTTCTTGCCAACAGAATTGAGCAGGGTGTCAGAATGTCATATTTCTGATTATACTGCTAGAACTGCAATGCCTCTCTTGCTAGGAGACTCTCTCTTGTTGACTTTGAGGAAGCAAGCAATCACTTTGGGAATATCTATATGGCAAGGAACTAAAGGCAGCCAACACTAAGCAAGAGGCTAAGGCCATCAGTCACAAGTAATTGAGTGCTGCTACTATGGAATTATGTTGCTTGGAATCAAATCTACCTCAAGTCAATCTTCTGATGAGATGACCCAACTGATTTTAGACTTTTGGATCCTAAATCAGAAGACTCAACTAAGTCATGCCCAGGCTTCTAATCCACAGGCATTGTGAGCTAGTAAATGTGTGATGCTTTAAGCCTCTATGTTTTTGCTGATTTGTTACACAGTTGTACATAGCTAATATAATACTCAAAAGTAAACGTTTATTTTGATTGAGTTGATCCTGAAGCAGGTCTAACTTATATAAGTTGGCAGGATCAGTCATCCTCTGATAAAAGACCAACAAGGCTTATTCTTGTCCATAGGTTTACATTTAAATTCCATAGCAACTTGACCTAAAATGTAAGATATTCTATGAACTAGTTAAACCTGCCTCTTATTATGTAGTCTCATTTCTTTATTTTTTTCACACAACTAAGCCAATTTATCCACATTTCCTTATAAACTTCCTTAGTTCATGAGTTTAAATCAGATGCATTTGTCAATTTAAAATTATTTAAATATTCTATTCCTATCATTAACTTTATTTAATTTAATTAAGATTTTATGTTCACACTAGAGGCCCAGTGCACAAAATTGTGCATTGGAGGGGGGGTTTCCTTCAGGCTGGGTTGTACCCTCTCACAGTCTAGGACCCCATGGAGGATGTCTGCCTGCCAGCTTAGGCTTGATCCCTTTTTCAGTCTTGGAATCCCTGCTCCTTACTACCTGCCTGCTCAATCCTTAACTCTCAGCTCACTGCTCCTTAGTGGCAGGCTTCTTACCGTTGGGCTCACTGATCTTTAGTGCCACTGCAGAGGCAGGCAGGAGAGGCTCCCACCACTGCTGCTGCACTCACTAGCTGTGAGCCTGGCTTCTTACTGAGTGGTATTCCCCATGTGGAAGCTCACTGACCACTAAGGGGCAGCTCCTGTGTTGAGAGTCTGCCCCTGGTGGTCAGTGTGAATCATAGCATCAGGTTATTCTGGTTGTCCTGCAGTAACAGTTGCTTAGGCTTTGATTATATAGACTAGAGGCCCGATGAATGAAATTCATGCACAGGGTTGTGTGTCCCTCACCCAGCCTACACCCTCTCCAATCTGGGACATCCCTTTCACAATCCAGGACTGCTGGCTCCCAACCACTTGCCTGCCTGTCTGCCTGCCTGATTGCCACTAACCACTTCTGCCTGCAAGCCTGATCACCCCCTAATCACTCCCCTGCCAACCTGATTGATACCTAACTGCTCTCCTGCTGGCACGATTGCCCCTAACAGCCCTCCTCTGCCAACCCGATCACCTCTAACTTCCCTCCCTTGTCAACCTGGTCCCCCCTAACTGCCCTCCCCTGCCGGCCTGATTGCCCCAAACTGCCTTCCCCTCCTGGGCTGATCTTGCCCCCAACTGCCCTCTCCTGCCGACCTGAGCTTGCCCCCAATTGATCTCCCCTGCCAGCCAATTTGGTTCTGATTGCTAAATTTCTATGTCAGTCAGTGTCAAAAGCTCTGCCTCCTAGGCAGAAATTGGCTTCTCGCACTTCACCCAGATTTGGTTCTGTTTGGTCAGTTTCTATGTCAGTCAGCATCTCTGGGCCTATCTCTGGTCTGATCAGAGAGGTGAGGCTGATCAGCAATTCCCTGCTGAGGACCTGAGAGAAACAAAGGCTCGACTGCTGAGGAAGCTTGGAGAGAGAGAGGCAACAGCTGGTCAACAGCTGCCATGGAGGCTGCAGATCAGATCCTGCCTCTCTCTTTGGGCCTTTTCCCAGGCCTGATCCACAGCCCCATTTCTAACTGCAGGGCTGATTCCGATTGTTTTGGACATTATGGACTGGGTTTTTATATATTAGAATTGGTTTTGATGAAAAAGTAAAATTTTTCTAAGTCTGTTTAAAAATTATAAGTAGCATAAGAATAATGATATTCCCTCGAATTGGAATTCATCATTTGTACAATAAGAACTATCAAGGACCATAATAAAATGTAGAGTGATGTGCTGGGATATAAGGTTTTAAGTTCAGGCACAGTTTTCCCTCAGTCAGTATATAAGTTGAGATAAAGATATATACAACTTGAACATTACTTACCCGTAAGTTTTTAATTTGCAATGTTCCTTGCTCTTGTATAGTTGCTCTTGGATCTCTGCCCAGAAAAGTGAATCCCTCCTTTAACCAGCTAATTACAGGAAGAGGTTCACCAGTTGCTTTACATTTCAGTAATGCTGTGCCATCTACTGCTAGTGTTTGGTTGGCTGGGCCTTGTAGAATTATGGGTGGAGGTCTATCTGTTAAAACTAAAGGACAAAGATATTTTCAGAACATTTTAACTTATATAAAATTCAGTAGTCTTAATATAGAAAATAAGGATAAAACCCCCAAATCAACATTATTTATAACTTGTTCTGTACCCATCAATTATTTGTCATCTGTACAAACTATACTGAGGCCATATAATTATTTATAACTTTGAATTACTTATAATTAAGATGCTAATGGTATAAAATTCCAAATTTTAGAAAGGCTTACTGTTATTGAAAGGCTTAATCATATTAAAATGAAAATATGGATGGCTTATTACAGGCATTCCTAAAATGTCTATATTATCTCTCATATGCATATTTAAGAAAGACAGTAGAGGATACATGAGTAGAATCAATTTTCACTTTCATTTTATTATGAATATATACATAATACATAATTTTACCCTTGCTATCACTAGTTGCATGCTTTATGTATATAGGCTATAATATTTCTGTTGATGTCAAAATATTTTATTATAAATAAATTATATTCAAAAATGATATTGACTCTTTAAATTATATTAATATAATTTGGATGATATAACTTAATTAGTCCTTGTAATTAAGCAAAGATAATCAATATAACTATACTTTATTTATGGTATGACAAAGATTGGGTTTTCAACAGTATTTATATATCTATCAATTTCTGTATTTGATAGATAAATTTTCCATAATTTCAACTTTTATTTTAGTGGGTCTTTAATTAAATTTTATCTTCAGTGTCTTTAGAAGTATTTTGTAATGAGTTCGGAAATATATCAGAATATATAGTATTATTTAAATGGGTAATGAAAATATGAAGTCAAATGGAGGCAAGCTTTTAACTAGATCTAATTAGAAGACCATTTCACAATAAAACTGATATGTCCAAGTCAAAGAAAACATTTCTAAGATTAAGAGAAAGTTCTATAAATTTAAACATAGATTTTGGTTAATTGTCCAAAATATGCTTTTTATTTCATGCATATATATTATTTCATTATTTCTAAATTACTTCATTGTAAAGATACAATATATAATACATAGAGCATGGGAAATATATGTTGTTCAACTACTTATTTTATCTGTAAGGCTGTCGGTCAACAGATTACTAGTTAAAATGTTGGACAGTCAAATGTTATTCGTGTATCTTCAACTGCAAAGAAGGTCAATACCCTAACCTACACATTATTCAAGGGTCAATTTTTGTGTGTGTGTTTAAATGTTTTAAAAATATATAATAAATTAAATGTTTTAAAATTGAACAAAATTATATCAATTTTTAAAAATTGTACCTGAGTTTAGAACAAACAAGCAAGCAAACACACAAAAAGACCATAGATACAGAAAATGATAATTGCCAGAGGCAGGGAAGCGCTTGGGTATGGGAAGTATGAGTGAGGGAGACATACTTTCTAAATTTATATATATATATATATAAAAAGACATACCACTGTTGACATTCACGGTGATCACCTGGCTGAAGGGTGTTTGTTAGGTTTCTCCACTATAAAGTTAAATTTACCTATTTTTATAGTTGTACCCTCAGGGTGAAATGCCTCTAAGAGTGGGGAGTTATGCTCCACTTCCTTGAGGGAAGAATATTTACAAAAATATTTGGAAATATCATGCACAGAAGATTTGTTTCTTCTCCACTTATTAGTTTATTTGACCATATTTTTTATTAATATGTACTCATGCGTATTTATTTCATATTTTGACTTATACTCCAATTCTACTTTATTGGTTTTGCTGCTCAAATTTCTACATTGGCCTTTGGGTGCTCATTCATTTGGTTTCTGTGCTTCTTTGACATCTCCAACCCCCAACAATGTGTGAGTTTTTGTTTTTGTTTTTTTGAGTACTTCCTTAATTTCTGATACCAGAAGATGCTCCAAGCTGATCTTATATAATTTCTGACCGAACACTAAAAATCAGCCATTTCTTCAAAATACACACATACACAATTGACCCTTGAACAATATGAACTATTATTTAGTTTATATATAAAACTATAGTGGATTCTATTTCCACTAAGCAATTCAGAAGAGAGTTTTTCTCAAGATCATGTTATATTACAATGTTCGTAATAAAAAAGTCTTATTGCTTATCAATCTTCTAATCATTTTGTCTATTAGTTTCTACAAATGCCTATAGGCATCATTTTTTTCTATTCTTTATAGTTTTGAGAAAAAAAAACAATATATTAAGCAATCTTTTTAGAGCCTATCATGAGAAAGCCAACCAATTTTAATTAAAAATGTAAATTATTATATAGGTTCTTTGCCTGGAAAGATGTAGTAGATTTTCAACCAACCTAAGCCTACTACATCAAAATATATGTTAAAATACGTGCATGCATGTATGTGTGTATGTGTATGTATGTAGAAAATCTTATAAAGATCTAAGAAAAACAATAAAATATTGTTCATGTATTCTTTTCAAAACAAATTAGACTTATTATTTTACTGATTTCCTTAATCAAATTATTCACTTTAAAAGTAAATAAAATAACCATTAGCATATGTGAATATTATACAATTATGACACCTCTGGTGATAATTGTGCAAATAGATGTTCAAATAGGAAGTTTCATAGAATTTATTTACTTCATGGACCAAAACAGGAAAGGCAGTTCACAAAACATTATCATTTTTAAATTCAACAAGAAAAATAGTTCTGTAGTAGCAGAGTAGATACCATTTAGTAAATAACTGTTTCAAATTAAATATTATATAGAATTCAGGGAACTTCTTATAATCTACTTTTATTTTCATATTCTTGAAATCATTAGATATAATCAAAATACATCTAATTTATTTATTTATCTAATTTTTAGTTCCCAAATATGTCACTCATTATATTTTAAATAAATTTGATCAATAAAGTAATTAAAACTCTCCTGGCCAGAAGGAATTTTCAGTCTAATCATGTTGTGGGTGAGAGATGACCACAGTTTCCATCACATTAAGGTCAATGGTTAAATGAACATTTAGGGTTTTTGGTGATCCATGGTCTCCATGGTTTTCTATATGCATTGTAAATCTCCAATAAATCAGTCATATAAGATGGTGATGTAACATTTTTTGTCAATATAAGATAGATAAATTTTCTATTATAAGTACATGTCTTCTCATCAGTACTTTTAGATTCTATTGACTCTATTTATAGAATTTTCGTTACTACATTTTAATTTTCTCAAAGACACGGTATAGAAGAAAAAGAAGAAATGAACAATAGCAATGAATTAATGAGTTATTTTAATGGAATATTTTGAAACTCAAGTATATTGAAGCATCTTATCTCAATCTATAATCAGTAAAATTATCGTTTAACAGTTCCTTTCATCACCATTAGCAATCTCATCTTATATATGAACACTTGAGCTAAAAATATTTCTGAGAAATAAGTGTAAGTGTAAAAACACAACAACAGAAGCATTGCTATAGATATTTTGCTTGTTTCTTAGAACATGGCATATGCTTTCATTCTTCATTGAATTTCAATTTGGCTCAAAATTGGCCTGAATCATACACACACAAAATTTTTGAAATTAAAAATGATGGCTCACATATTTTTAAATTGCTAACCAAACTAAAATATTCAAAACACTAAAGCTGAAACCATCAACCAATATGGCAAGTTACAATTTGGAGACAGAGTTATTTACAATAATAATATGTGTGTGTGTGCCTGGAAGTTAGGTTTGTTTACTCTAAAAATCAATAAGTCTATAACCTTCAGTCAATGTTTTTGAAAAAGGATCTTGATTTTGTGATTGCTTACATAAGTAAAAATCAATGTAGTAATTAATGTTCAAGCCAGTTGTAGGAAAATGTCCAGAGCCATCTCATTCACCAGTTTTAAAACTGTTTATCACTGTTTTAATTTTGACCTCAGAAATGCAGCTATTAGAATAATTACTGCATTTTGTGTGATCATGTCTTCAACTAACATAAATTCTCAAAACAAAAGTTTTGTGTTCCATTATATTAATCATAATTCTGTATATCCACCTGTTTCATAAACCACATCAGTAATACCACAAATCAACTTTTCTAATTTCTCAATTTTATTTTCTATAAATATGTTTTTCCATAAAAATGTCTTTATTTAATATTTTAGAGTCTGTCTTTTGTAAAATAATATAATCTGAGATATTCAAAAGATTACAATAGAGATCTTAAGTGTTGTTTCAAATGTTTTGTAATACGGTAGACTAAAACTTGGCTTTGGCCAGAATATCAGAGTTTCCAAGTATATGTACCTGGACATTTTTCTTTATAGTAGAAAACTTAAAATCTTAACAAAGATTAACAATTACATTTTATTTAGATTAAGGAAATGTGGAGGCATGAAAAGTAAAAGATCATGTTGAACTGCAGGAAGAACTCAGCGCTGTTCCTTCGTGAACCTGGCTTCTTTCCCTTGGCAGTAGCAAATCTCTGCAGCAGCAACAAGCATAACCATTCAAGACCCAGGACCCTACAGACAACGTTTGTCTGTCCTATTTACATTATTTCCATTCCTGCCAATATGCTGAATCAGGCAATGCCATGCACATTAAAAAAATATTGCCTTCCTATTCATTTTAAATGACCTTTTAATCTACATGTAAATGTGAATTATATGAAAGCACATTTCACCACAAGAGAAAGAAGAGAATCAGAGAGGTCACAGATAGAAGATCTTGAGTCTCAGAATCATAGGGTCAAGAACAGAAAAAAACAAAACAAAACAAACAAACAAACAAAAAAAACTAGCCACAAATTCACAAATAAAGGAGAGCAGAAAAAATTTTAAGGCATCAAAAAATAAAGCTTAAATTCATGTTCACAGGTTTAAAAAGTATCTAAAACTCCCTAGTTGTCATTTGTGACAAGCTATTGGGGAAAAATCAGTTAAAGCTCTTGTCTTAACTCTATTCCAACTTTTGCTATTAGTATAGGTGCTTCATTTAAGATTCCTAGTACATATGTTCAAATAAATAAATAATAATTTTAGCATCCAACAATAGTTTTGAGGTGTTTAATTAATTTAAAATAGTGAATGTATAATGTATAATTAAAAAGTCATAGGATGTCACTAGCTAACTAAAAACCCATCTCCATTTCCATTAAATATTAAAGATGCTATATTTTTCCTCTATTAAAGTAATATTATTTACTAAAAGTATCCTACCTAATAAAAGAGAAACATGCAAATTGACCACATCTTCGCTAAGCGCTAAGGCCACAAGTCCCGCCCATCAGTCAATCAGGGTGAGTATGCAAATTAACCCAACCAAGATAGAGATTAATTTGCATATCCAGGCCAGAGCAAAGACTGAAGACGCATAGAAAGAAGCCAAGCGCTGTGGAGAAGCAAGCAAGCAGGGCTGGGGAGAAAGAAGGAAAGCAGGTGGGGCAGGGAGAAGGGAGGAAATAATATCTCCATACAATTTGACTGTGATATTTCTTTGAAATAATGCATCACTATGTGTTTAACAATAAATTATCTTGGAAGTTCTCTGGGAAAATAAATGGAATTAAAACAAGGAGAATTATAAACTATTAAAATGTTATTTTATCTAGAAGCAAACTGATAATAATTTATTAAAATAATTTAACTAACAAATCAGAACATTTCACATGTTAATGTGAATCTTGAAATTATGGCCTGATCAGGTTACAACATTATCCCATTAGGCCAAGGTTGCAGGTTTAATCCCTGGTCAGGGCATATCTACATATTTTAAAAAAACAGAGACCACTATGATGTCCACTGCAGACAGTGAACAGGCCTGATTGAGGGGTGGGCCAACTGGCCAACCTCCCAAGGCCTCTCCCCCAGACTTCCCTGCCCCTGATTGGCACACCTCACTTTTATCAGCCAGCAGCCCCTCCCCCTGGCTGGCCCGACCCCTGATTGCCCCCTACCACAACATGGGGCAGGGTGGTTGGCCAACCTCCTGAAGCCCCTCCCTCTGGCTGGCCCTGCCCCTTATTGCACCCTCCTATGCCAACATCAGCCCTCCCCACCTAACCAGGGGTAGGGCCAGCCCTCCAACCCTTCCACCTAGCCAGCTTCACTCCTGATTGGTCACCTCCCACACCAATTAGCTGGCTGGCCAACCTCCCACTGTCTCCTCCAACTAATAGGTCCAGTCCTGGTCTTCCCTGATTAGGACCAGGCCAGCTGGACACTACTGGTGCAGGAGTTCCTGTACTGGGCCTCTAGTATAAAAATAAAACAATAAATGCATAAATAAGTGGAACAACTAATAGATCTCTCTCTCCCCATTCCTACTTTCTCTTTCTAAAAATCAATGAATAACATTTTTAAAAAAACCATTATTTCCATAAGACAAATTTAAAAATACTGCACCATCCGTAACTTCCAGTTGAGCTTTTGCTAAAATGCTTCCTGCCACAGTTAGGGCCTGGCAAATGTAGTAACCCGCATCTGAACGTTGAATGTTGGTGATCGTGAGGTCTCCGGTTGGTGACACAGAACATCTACTATTGGGCTGCTGTGGTTGGTTTGGGAAAAGCAGATTCTGTGGAAGCAAACACAATCTCATCAATATTCTTTTCCCACTTAAAAGGAAAATTATACTGACAATAGCTACTGCAGTTATGGGAATATGGTTGGAAAAGAAAATACATAGGTTTAATAATAAAACATAGTGTTGAAATAATTTAATGGTACATAGTGAGTTACACTGAGAAACTTTGTGCAAATAATGGAAAAATAATAAGCTCTAAGAAGTTAGCATGCTCTAGTTGAAGGCACAATCATCTTTAAAAAATAAGTATCTTGGCCGAAACCGGTTTGGCTCAATGGATAGAGCATCGGCTTGGGGACTGAAGGGACCTGGGTTCGGTTCCGGTCAAGGGCATGTACCTTGGTTGCGGGCATATCCCCAGTAGGGGGTGTGCGGGAGACAGCTGATCAATGACTCTCTCTCATCGTTGTTTCTAACTCTCTATCTCTCTCCCTTCCTCTCTGTATAAAATCAATAAAATATATTTTAAAAAAATAAGTATCTTAGCAATTTCATCTTTTCCTAACTTTCTGATAATTACTTCATATACTAGTATTTGAAATATGGTTTGCTGATCTATGAAATGGGCATAATAATGCTTATCTAACTCAACTCATAAGAAACTGAGGATCTGGAATGAATCACGCATACATTTTATACACTGCACATTACTAAAGAATGCAAAATATATTTTCTGCTGATGATCCTATCTTATAAAAGAGTAATATGCAAATTGATCATCACTCCAAGACACAAGATGGCCAACCCGATGTGATCAAAGATGGCTGACCCCATGTGTATACAAGATGGCCATCATAAGGTGGCTAGCAGGTGGGAGGGGGGGCAGTTGTGGGCAGTTAGGAGTGACAAGGCCAGCAGAGGAGGGCAGTTGGGGGAGACCAGGCCAGGAAGGGAAGGAAGTTAGGGGGGTACCCAGGTCTCAGGGGAGGGTAGTTGGGGGGGGGGCAGGTCAGCAGGAGAGGGAAGTTGGGGACACCAGGACTGCAGGGGAGGGCAGTTTGGGGGGACCAGGCCTATAGTAGAGGACAGTTGTGGGGGGACCCAGGCCTGCAGTAGAGAGTAGTTCAGGGGGAACCAGGCCTGCAGGGGAAGACAGTTGGGTGGGACCAGGCCTGCAGGGGAGGGCAGTTGTAGGTAATCAGGCCAGCAGGGAGGGCAGGTAGGGGTGGCTGGGCCAGCAGAGAAGGGCAGTTGGAGGACACCAGTACTGCAAAGGAGGGCAGTTGAGGGGGCATGCTTGCAGGGGAGAGTAGTTGGGGGATACCAGACCTGCAGTGGATGATAGTTGGGGGGACACAGGTCTGCAGGGAAGGGAAGTTGGGGGGACCAGGCCTGCAGGGCAGGACAGTTTTGGGTGATTAGGCTTTCAGAGAGGGCAGTTAGGGATGACCGGGTCAGCAGGGGAGGGCAGTTAGGAGTGATAGGGTCAGCAGAGGAGGGCAGTTGGGGTGACCAGGCCTGCAGTAGAGGGCAGTTGGGGGTAGGGGGAACCCAGGTCTGCAGAGGAAGGCAGTAGGGGGAGATCAGGCCAGCAGTGAGGGCAGTTAGGGATGACTGGGCTGGCAGAGGGGGGCAGTTGTGGGAGACCAAGTCTGCAGGGGAGGGCAGTTGTGAATGATCAGGCCTACAAGGGAGGACAGTTGGAAGAGACCAGGCCTGCAGGGAAGGATAGTTAGGAGTGACCAGACTGGTAGGGGAGGGCATTTAAGGGTGGCCAGGCTGACAGGGAAGGGCAGTTAGGGGCAATCAGGCCTACCAGGGAGCAGTTAGGCATCGATCAGGTTGGTAGGGGAGTGGTTAGGGGATGATCAGTCTGGCAGGCAGAAGCAGTTAGGGGCAATCAGGCAGAGGCAGGCGAGAATTGTGAGAGGGATCCCAGATTGGAGAGGGTGCAGGCTGGGCTGAGGGACACCCCTCTGCTCCGTGCAGGAATTTCGTGCACTGGGCCTCTAGTTTTTAATATTTGGTGATATTATCAGAATTTCTCCTAAAGGTGTTATCAAAAAATGTGTGACTGAGACTGATGCAGAGCCTAATCTACTTTTGCTATAAGGTTTCTACATAGTGTATGAGCCTCAAAGTGAACTATGAACAAATGCTGCAGACAAAACAAGATTAATAGGCAAATCAAAGAAAGAAGATAAAGACTATTTCTGAAGTGTATATGCAACTTAAAAAATTTCATAATAATTCTTTTAAAAAGTTAGTTTACTATATATCTCATATTAAATATAAGCAGCCTAATTACAAGCTTTAAAATGTTTTCATATGAGATCAGGGATATTAACTGCCATGACCTATGTTGCTTTACTGTTACTCACTTAAGAAAAACATTTGGGTATAATATAAATTATTTTGAGATATATTTCCACGATGGATTATAAATAAAAACATATCGATTTTATGTTGTATTTATTTACAAAACAGACATTATAACCCTATGTAATCTATTTCTCAATATAGTAATTAATTTTCCAGGTTTGTAATTAAACATTTTCAATATGTTAAAAAAAGATAACATTCAATTAAAGTCATAAGACACATTTCACCTTAAAATGTTTTTACCCTTGAAGTAATACCAACGGAAGAGGATAAAATAGGGTATTAACACTTTTCAATTACGCTAAATGACTTTAATCCTGAGAATGATGTCCTACTTTAATTAGAAGCTCTTCTCTTTATTGCAACATGATGGATGTCCACTTTATTAGATTCAAGTGTGACACCATAAGCCCACTTTACATAAACATTACCATGTTGTTAAACCCTTTCTAAAAGAAGTGATGTTTGCTAGCATGTCAAGAGCATAATTTCAAAATGCCATTGCCTGTTATAAAATTTGTATTACTATATAAGGATAGACATTTTTATCATATGAAACATCATTTGCAAACAAGCTAATTCTCTCATGGAGTCCAGATATATTACTGAAATAAACCATCTGCAAGAGAAGGGTCTAAATTTTAAAGCCACTTGAAAATGATACAATAACTCAAAGTGTGCACTTTCCTACAATTAGCCATTAGAACACTGATTTACATAGCACTAATACATTAGATGGTTTAATTCTCTCTGGAATCTCTTCCTCTATAATGTAATATTAGTCCACCTTCTAAATGATTCGTTGACATGGAAAATGACATATGATTGAGGTTAACCCATCATCTTTTATTCCCTGCTCACATGACTTAGGCAAAAGATAATGGATTACAAGCAAAACCCAGAATTTTACAGAGCTCTTCTTGCTTTGAAGTGCCCGGGTATCCTATTAGTGCTAATTGGCACTATCAGCACATATTGAGGAATACAGACCATTAAGTCCATGCTCCTAGCTATCTCTCTTCTGAAAGATTGTCATAGATCACTGCAAAAATTGGATACTGGAGATAGTAAAATCAATTTATTTTTCCTGATATCCAATCATGATTTGAAGTTTTACAACCTGCTCCAACACTTCTCTTCTCTTCTATTTCTCTCTCTCTCTCTCTCTCTCTCTCTCTCTCTCTCTCTCTCTCTTTCTCTAATGTGAGGAAGACAGATACAAAAGGGAAAATAAAAACAGAACTAAGATAGTAATCAAATCAGATAATCTAACTGGAAAATTATCAGCTCTGGAATTACATAATAATTTGTCAAATAACAGAAAAAATAAACACTCTGAAAGTATTTGATCATTACTTTTTTCAGCACCATTAAAACACAATGTAGTATATTTAAATGTCATGTTTATTTGGCCATGGTACAAGGACATTTTATGCAGTATCTTATAACCTGGAGCTATTTCAGGGTATGGGATTCACACATGATATAGCTGTATCTATATAATAACAAAATATACTATAATGGTGTTTGACACGATACATGGATTTGCCACAAATAGTTTTATATCATGTTACCTATATTGTTTATAAATAAATAATGTATTTCTCTCCCACCCCCAGCCTTCTCAGGCTCTGTGTGGCTCTGAGAGCAGTGGAGGCCAGAGTGGTGCTGAGCCTCTCCTTGGCCTTGGACCACAGTGTCCAGGAGAAGAAGACTCAGGCCCTGCAGCCTTCACCTGCCACTGTAACCGGGACTCAGTGGGAAGCAGATGCATTCTGCATTTTCCCATTTCTAACCAGAGGTTAGAAATAACATCTTGTTGACCTTCATAATATGTAAGGCACTTTACTATATACACTAACTAAATTATGACATCTCCATGACTTATGTGAAGTAAAATGTATTATCCTCTTATTTTAGGTTAAGAAAATTTCAGCAGAGATAAATAGTGCTGCAAAGATTGTGCATTCATGAGAGGGAAAATGGCTTTAGAATGCTTTCTTTTTCCCGTGTGTGTGTGTGTGTGTGTGTGTGTGTGTGTGTGTGTGATAGCTAAGGTCATGTTGTTTAACACTGAGCCTAGAGGGTGTGATGCTTTTATCCAAAATCAATTTATAAGTGAAAAACTGAGGAACTCTGTGTGTAGATATCAATTTTATAGTTACAAAGTGATTTTTTAAAATATAGGAAATAAGGCCTGGCACAATTCTGTTAGCCAAGGGAGTGGTCAGCACTTTATATTTTTTCCCATGACTAATTTTACACCCCACAAATCATTGGAGAGTGACTGCATCAGGTGCATTCAGGAAAGGAGGAAAGACAATTTGTCCATCCAGGTCAAGTTGATAAAACTGCTAATTTGGGGTGGAACAGGAATATGTAGGAGCCCACAATAATTAAAAAGACCACTGAGGGAACTTCCTGATGCCTCTCTACCCAGAGATGCCTGAGTTCTGAGCAACAGGTTCTCTTAATAAAGGCTGTAGCCCTTCCCCATAGCTAAAATCAAAGGTTTTAGATTTCCTGAGACTTTTATTCACGGTTGCCATTGTTCCTCAGGAAATTCTCCCAGAACGTGGCCAAACAGCAGAAGGTGCCGAGGAGGAGTGGAGGAGCGCTGGTGGGCTTCTTCCTGAGAATTACATGTCTCCTTGGCGATGGTCCTGGAACATCTAGGAAAAATATCTCTGGGCCCTGACCGGTTTGGCTCAGTGGATAAGAGCATCAGCCTGTGGACTGAAGGGTCCCTGGTTTGATTCCAGTCAAGGGCATGTACCATGGTTGCGGGTATATCCCCAGTGGGGGGTGTGAGGAGGCAGCTGATCAATGTTTCTTTCCCAACGATGTTTCTAACTCTCTATCCCTCTCCCTTTCTCTCTGTAATAAATCAATAAAATATATTTTAAAAAGTATCTCTCAGTCCTTTAGGAATAAACAGATATGGGCTTAGACAAATAACTCAATTTCTGATCTGGTGGAAGCTGGAAATTCCAAGCATAATCTCAGCACCTAGCGCTGAATGTTCATCACAGTTGGGACTAAGTTTTAAATGAGAAAAGTTGTGCATCCATTTAAATGTTGGCAGAGAATCTGAAAAGCCTGCTGCTCAGAGAGGATAAACCAACACACAGCAAAGACCAAAGTGTTAGTTGCTTCCAGTTTGTAACTTTTATTCTCTGTCCAACCCTACTGTGAAGGAATCCAGAAAGGATGATGGAACAAAGTATTTTCCCCATACTTAATGGAAGGATGTTTAACTTAACGATAAAGAAAAAAGTTATTTATACTATTTACCTAAGAAAGGTAACTGAAATTTGTTTCCTGGTTATTTAATAATGGAAATGTATATTGACAGGATGTTCTAAATGCTGTGTGTTGTCTCATCATTCCAGGGAAGTTCAGTACAAGAAAACTAAATGACTTTTCTGTTCAGAAAGTCTAAATAGTGGCAGGTTTTGGTTAGAATTTAGAGATTCTTTGGTTACACAGAATTGTATTTATTCTATATAAAATACAGAAGTTTAGAAAATCAACACTGGAACATCTAATTCCCACTTATTTTAGAATGAGTCGGTTCCTTTTTTAGAAACAAGGTAGCTTCAACATTGATAGCAAGAAAGGCAAGGCAGACTTTGAGGATCCCCGAAGACAGGGGGGTTCACAGAAGCAGTCGATGCTCATACTCACCTGGCTGCCTTCTTTCTGCCAAAACACAGCTGGCTGCGGGTTTCCTTTAGTCTCACAGGGAAATGTCACTGTTCGACCTTGTGCAACAATCTGATCTCTCGGCCTAACCACAAACTGTGGAGGAGCTATAATTTAAACGGAAAGAAAGTGTGTAAATATAAACTGTTGAGAAAGAAAAATGTAACCAAAGGGACAATCTGGTACTAAGTGGATGGCTCAGTGCCAGGCAGAGGCTATAGTTTTATACTTACTTTTAAGCATTTCTCATAAACAATGGGAAGAGGAAGAGAGCGCTCTAACGCACGTGAGGGAAGAAGTAAACGTATTAGTAAGCACATTTGAAATGTACATTGTAAATTCATAGGCCATAAAGTTGCATGGGAAAAATAGATTTTTATGATAGTCTTATTTTTTTCAAAATTTGTGTTAGAGAGGGAGAGAGAGAGAGAAAGAGAAAGAAAGAGAGAGAAAGTGAGAGATAGAGAGAAAGAGAGAGAGAGAGAGAGAGAGAGAGAGAGAGAGAGAGAGAGAGAGAGAGAGGTGGAGAGACTGAGAGAGATAACATTGATCTGTTGTCTCCTTCAGGTTCCTTGACTGGAAATCATATCCCAAACCTCGGTATGTGCCCTGACCAGGAATCGAACTTGCCACCTCTTGGTGTACAGGATGGCGCTTCAACCAATTGATCCACCTGGCCAGGAAGATATTCTCACATTTTTAAAGAAAAATATTATTTCCCAATGTGGTTTTGTGTTTGAATAGAGATAGAAACAAATTGCTCCATCACTCAGACATCTCTGCTCTGTGAAGCCAGTCTATTGACAAACATTGCTTGTTTTTGTAATATTTGCAAAACATGGTACTAGGCACAAGGATACCAGAGGGATTAATATGAGGTTTATTCTTAAAGTGCTTTTATTACAGAACTGAAAAATTGAAGTGTTGAAGACATTGAAAAATTGATGAGATTCAGGTTACATACAAGAATAATAATATTACAAATAAATGTATATACGTGGTTGATTCTACTTAATTCATTTCTAGTAAACATCAGTCAGATAATTACTATATTCCCCTTCTCAGCACTAAAGATGCACAGAGAAAAAGCATTGGTCACACAGTCTTCAAGAAACTCATAGTTTAGCCAAAACCAGTTTGGCTCAGTGGATAGAGAGTCGGCCTATGGACTGAAAGGTTCTGGGTTCAATTCTGATCAAGGGCATGTACCTTGGTTGTGGGCACATCCCCAGTAGGGGGTGTGCAAGAGGCAGCTGATCGATGATTCTCTCTCATCGATGTTTCTAACTCTCTATCCATCTCTCTTCCTCTCTGTGAAAAATCAATAAAATATATTTTTTAAAAAAGAAACTCATAGTTTAATGGAAAATATAAAACGAAACATAAAACATAATGTAAACAACAACTGCAAGCCTTATCTAAACCTACGGTAAATTCTACGGTAAAACATAATGTCAACAACGACAATTATCTAAACCTAAGGTGAATTCTATGGCAGAGGTGCTCTCTATAACTTACATTATAGAACACAATAAACAGGACAGGACTTCAGGAGGGAGGGGTCCCTTTTGCTCTGGTGGCTGTGTGAGAAGTAATCTGATGGGGGTTTTGAGGAAATGGTTGCATTTAGGTAAATGTAGAAATGAACAGTTCCAAGCTAAGAGCTCACTGAGCAAAGTGCAAGCAAAATGCACCTAATGTACAGCAGGTACGGAGGGCCCAGATATGCAACCTCATGGGCTACAAAAGACAGATCTGGACCCAGTCTATTAAAGTCCTGAGAAGCCAAACCAGCTTTTGACTCTTTATAAACGGAGGAGCATGACTTTGGGAGCTTTAACCCTCTAATAAATATAGGATAGCTTTTGAGGGAAATACATTGGCCAATAAAGTAGGAAGACTAATAAAGTGGTGTAGGTGAAGATTAGAAGACCTAGACACAAGTAACTTCAATAGAAAAAAATAATAATAAGGGGATGGGGGTAAAATTACCAAGAAAATTCAGATTTAAATTGGGGGCTAATTATAAAGTTATAAAGTAGACAGTAAAATTGAAGTTTCCATGAAGAAATCTTCTTCACACCAAAACTACTTGTATTAAAGAAAAACAGCATGCTTGTGCCATGTTTTTTTTTTTTTCTAATCCTCTGTTTTCACTTTAACTCTGTTCATTTTTGAAAACAGAAGAGCAAGAAAACACTTTAAAATCAATTCTAGTTTTTAGAACCTGATGTACATAGCAATAAACCTGAAATCTGAACTCTAAAAAAGTCTAACAATAATTGACATTCACTCAGTAAAGGGCTTTACTCAGAATCTTTCAGTCCTTCAGGAGTACATATGTGCAGGTCCAAGAACAGTATAAATGTAAGGCAGCCTCAAACACACAGCTGGTTACTCATTCCTAGAAGAACACTAACATGGAAACAGCAGCAGCATTTTTTCAGAAAAGTCACTTAGAGCTGTGGTGGCTTATTTTTTGTGTTCAACTTATTGCCTCTTAATTCACCACATTCAACAACATATCCCAAGTGTTGAAAGCTGCCCATTGCCTTCACTAGCAGAGAGGTGGACAAGGAACCCTGGAGGCTGGTCAACCTTGAGGCTCTGGCAAGGGTCAGAGCCATACACCCACTGTCTAGTTGAGACAAAGGGAGCTGAAGCAACTTCCACCTTTTAGTCTCATGTAAATCCTTGCTGATGGGCTATCATTGAGCTATTACTGGAATTGCCTGCCTAAGAGCTATGGATGGATCCCCAACCTGAATAAAAAGGATCACAAGGCCAGAGCAAAGCATATTCCTCTCTTGGGCTTCTGCCTGGCCCCAAATCCCCAAATTAATATTTTCTTGTCTAGTTTCTTCCATTTGCATTCAGCCTCCTCCAAAGCCTGAACCCTGAACCACGTGGGACGTGGGAGGGGACACCCGCAAATGGCAGTCCAACATGGGGTACTCGCACCCAAGGACAAAATAAATTAATTTACTAAGTGGAATTTTCTATAACTATAGATTAGAAGACTCTGTTTAATAGGATGAAGAATTCAGATTTAGGGTCTGTTGGAACATGTGGTTTATGTTGTCTTGTATTTTCAGAAATTACTTGCTTCTTACTATCTTCTTTTTATTTCTACACTATTCCACTGAATTAGCAGATACTTTTTTTTCTGATGTTGTTCTATGCTTTCTAACAAGAATGTTAGCTTAAATCAGTGTTACAAATCTATATTAGGAATAACTCTTAAGAAACCACCATATATTTATACCAAAAAAGACTTAAAATGGTCTCTCTCATCTATAATATTCAACAAGATTACATCTATAAAGAAAAAGCTAAGCCTGGCCGGGTGGCTCAGTGTTGTAAATGTTGTCCCATACATCAATAGGTTAGTCCTACTTTTGGGGACTTATAGGAAGCAAACTTATCGACTTTCTCTCTCACATCAATGTTTCTCTCTCTCTCTTTCTCTTAAATCAATTTAAACAAATCACATATCCTCACACGAGGATAAAAAAGTTAAAAGTTAATGTATAATTACTTTTTGGTAATGCTATGGGAAACAAGTTAATTGACAATAAAGACAGCAAAAAGTATTGGGTAATATATCTTCCATCTCATTATAAAAAATTAAAAAGTCAGTATAGTCAAAATCAGTTCACAATTTTTAATAGCAGTCACATACTCACCTTATTAGTTTATTTGTATTGCTTTGAACCAGAAACAATTTAAATTGTCTCATATGACTTATCATTAAAACATTAGAGGCCAGAGGAGCTATAAAGTCCTTTTTATTTAATTTTTAAAGTGTAATACACATTAAAATAATCAAATGAAAAGCAAATTAAAACAATGCAAACAGATACTATAGTTTTATAAAATATATTTTCATTGATTTCAGAGAGGAAGGGATTTGGAGGGAGAGATAGAAACATCAATAATAAGAGAGAATCATTGATTGATTGCCTCATGAAGGATAGGGGATTGAGCCTCAAACTTGGGCATGTGCCCTGAATCGGGATCAAACTGTGACCTCCAGGTTTATAGGTCAATGCTCAATCATTTAGCCACCACAGCCAGCATTTTTTATAGTTTTTATTAAAAAAATATTTTTATTGATTTCAGAGAGGAAGAGAGAGAGATAAAAACATCATTGATGAGAAGGAATTATTGATCATCTGCCTTCTGCATGCCCTCTACTGGGGATGGAGCCTGCAACCCCCAGCATGTGCCCTTGACCAAAATAGAACTTGAGACCCTTCAGTCTGCAGGCCAACTCTCTATCCACTGAGCCAAACCACCTAGGACTATTTTATAGTTTTAAGTATGTCATGCTTACTCTGTATCTACAGTAAGATTACCATCTGCACTATAAATATAACTACAGACTTCCTTAAATTAGATTTTTGAAGTTTTCAAAAATTTCATGGTAGATGAGTGCTTTTGCAAAATGCTCGTGGGATTCAGATCCTACAATTTTAGCACAGTCCTTAAAACACAGTCCCCAAAATATGAACTGGTGAAAGATCACATCTCCGCATCTACTTATTTTAAAGAATAGAATTCACCCATTTATTCATTCAAAATGGATTAATGATTCAAACTATGAGAAAGTCTGCTTGATACTTTCAAGCAGGGGATGAAAAGCCAATTTAAAAAACATATAATGTTCTGGCCAATGGCAGAGACTTCTAAGAAAATAAATAAGTAAAAACAAATACAGTAAAGTATGATTTTTATAATAGAAAAATGCAGAGGGCATTGCGGAGGAAAGCATAAAAGAGCAGCAAATTAGAACTGGTGATAAGGGAAGAAGAGGAAAGATGTTGAGAGAAGGCCACACCTGAGTTGTGTTTTGATGCACTTTCTAAAATTTACTCCTGATGAATTCACTGATTTGATTATATTAGAACAGGAGTAAAGTTGTTTGGGATAAAGAGAAATAGACATAAGGCAGTGGAACTGGATTCATTAGGGGAGTGTAAGAATACAATCAGAGGTACAGAAGTAATGTAAGTAGGAACAGACAATTTCTGTTAAAAGACCTTCAATTTTGTCCTGAAATGTATGGAGATTTATTCAAAGATGCTTATGCAGGAAAGATATAGCA